TTTTAATATTTTATATACTTTAAGCCTAATTAATTTTATAAAGAAATAGTAATTATTTATTTAATATATTTAAAGTTAGTTATTAAAATAATAACCTTTTAGCTAAAACTAAAATCCTAAGTAATAATACAGGTAATAAATATTTTACCTATATATATTTATTAGTGTTCTCTACCTTTATATACTAAGGGCTAAAGCCTTTTCAACTACTAATAACCTTATTCCTATGTTCTAAGAGCAAAATTAATTGTCCAAGTTTCTCTAATACCTTATGCTATAAGTATTCCAACGGAGGTGTCCTCCATCTATCTGGAGGTTTCATCCTTCATCACATCCATCTTTTATCCCAAGTTATCTTCTATCTCTTTTATATCACAACCATATTCAGTATCTGCACTGCTATATAGCCATGCGTTTTATAACCCTCTGGAAGGCAGCCTCCAAACTCGGCAACATCCTCTCACCAGTACCGTCTCTGCCCTGGCAAAGACTGCCAACTCGGTCGACACTTACGACTATGTGGTGGTCGGCTCCGGTCCTGGCGGTGGCCCGCTGGCGGCCAACCTAGCCCGAGCTGGCTTCAAGACTCTTTTGCTCGAGGCTGGTGGCGACGCTAGTGATGCTATGATCACGAACTCGATGGCATTGACAAACACCGCCGATACCACTGCCCTGACATGGACGTACTGGGTCCGTCATTACGACGATGTCGAGTTGACCAAAAAGTACCAGCATCTTATATGGAAGCTTCTAAACGGAAAGTTGTGGGTTGGTCCAGGAAGCTCTGTACCGCAGGGAGCAGAGATTGTTGGTATCTAATATCCCCGTGGCGCAAAACTTGGAGGATCGTTTATTGTTAACTCTGGCCTTACTTTTCTTCCGGCTAATAGCGACTGGGAGTATATCAAGAACCTCACTGGCGATGATTCATGGAAGTATGTAATCCCCAAACCCGTCTACTTTTTCCATCCTGTCATCTCTGGGAACTCTGTAAGCTAACGTATCGAATCTTAGTTCTACTCATATGGGAGAATTGTTCATCAAGTTGGAAAAGAATGAATACCGCCAACGTGGTACACCAGGTCACGTCTTCGACGGATATGTTGAGACGATTCTAAGCAATGGGACCGTCTTTCACTCTTCACCCCAAGCAACTGCAATTCTAGAGGCCATGGCTGCCGAGGCGGGCCAAGACCCCAAAGACTTGGCAAACATACTGAATGTAGACCCGAACCAAGTCTTGAACCCCGAACGAGATCAGATGACAGGCCTCACGGGACTACCTGTTCATGCCAATGCTACCTGGGCCCGCTATAGCTCGAGGACACGAGTTCTCGACACCTTGCGCGCCGTTGACGAGAAGGGTAATAAGAAGTATCCCCTGGAAGTCCGCCTCAACTCTCACGCTACCAAGGTTCTCTTCGACAAGCCACGAGGAGGCTCACTGCCGCACGCCATTCGTCTCGACTACCTAGAAGGCAAAAGCAGCTTTCAGGGTGACCTTCGCTATATTGCGACAAGCAAGAAGGTGTCACGCAGGGTCCATGCCCGAAAGGAGGTCATTCTCAGTGGTGGATCATTCGGTACACCTCAGCTATTGCTGCTCAGTGGTATCGGACCAGCTGCAGACCTTAAGGCCTTGAAGATCCCTGTTATCGACGATAGTCCAGGTGTTGGCCGCAATATGCAGGACCACAACGAACTTGCTGTCATTGGACACGGTGCCCAGGCCTTCGATTACTCTGCTGCTCCTGGGGGTCCTCGCTCCCAATGCACCTTTGGGGCTCCTGGCGATCCATGTCTTGCACTTTACCTTCAAGGCAAGGGACCATACGCTCAGCCTGTTCTTATGCAACTGGCCTTCCTCAAGACCAATCACACCCCCAACGACGAGCATGATATTGCCATATTCCTTGGTTCTTTCGGATTCCGTGGCTTCTGGCCCCGGAATACCGGACAATCTTGGGATGACCCCCCAACGACCTGGGGCATGCATGGCGTCCATATACACGGTAACAGCACGGCCGGATACCTCAAGCTTCGCTCGGCCGATCCGACCGTGACACCTGAAATCAACTTTCGACACTTCAACGGCACAGGTTCCTCCGACGACATAGCTGCTTTGAAGGACTTCGTTGCTTGGGGTCGCCGCGCTTTCAACCGCGTCCAGCCACCATTCGCTTCTTATAATATCACGTGGCCACCCTGTGCAGGTACTGTCGGTGCCGATGGAAGCTGCTCTATCGCTGGCAATGACGAGGACTTTATTCGCGAGAATATCTTCGGTCATTACGTTATTGGTACTTGTTCCATCGGCCGCAGCTCTGGCAAATACTCAGTCTTGGACTCCAAGTTCCGTGTTCGTGGTGTTTCTGGCCTGCGAGTTGTCGATGCTAGTGCTTTCCCCAGGTCTTCTGGTGCTTTCCCTGTCATTGGCGTCTATATGTTGAGCGAAAAGGCGTCCGAAACCATCCTATCGGGCTAGTAGACTTGTATAGTACCTAGGAATTGCTTGCAGGCGATTTAAATCACATCGGCCAGGAGGATGGGTTATAGAGTCAACACAGTTATACTTTAGAGCTTCAACTTCCACCAATTACGCCAGGATCAGCTTGCCCACGACATGGATCCTCGTCAATTGCATCACTGGGACTACGGCGATCCAATATCGGATAACCATGATCACACAAAGTCCCTAGCAATCCACCCTTAGATCACTTTTACTTCATAGCAATCTATATAGTCACTCTCAGTATATAGACCACACTCATGAGCTTTTATAAAACCAACTTGCTAGTTATTAACATTTCACTCTGAACCAGTATCTTGGCATGCCAGTTGAGGTTATAAAACATTTCCAATGAAGTCACAAGATATCATCTCAATTTGTGCCACGCTCTTCGGCATTGTACAGGCTGGGCCAATTGACTCATGCGATGTCATTTCGGCGACTCCCTCAGTTAAAGTTTTTTCCACTGCTGTCATCGGGTCGTTGGTCGACGATGGTGAGTATTTTCGCGGCATACCCTACGCCAAACCACCAATTGGTCCTCTCCGGCTGAGGCCACCAAAGCCCATTCAAGATTTTGGCACGATTAGGCCAACGTTGTTGGCCCTTCCTATCCACAATTCACAGTCTCAGAGTCATCTCCAATATTCAACCACATCGCGTGGTTATTAAACGTCATGGAAGCGATTTCTTTTGCTGGCGCATTGGGGGCCAAACAAAAGACTGCCTGACCGTCTCGGTCATGCGACTACAGAACACTAAGTCCAATCAGTAGCTCCCTATACTTTTGTGAATGCATAGCGGAGGCTTCCAGATGGGGACTGCGCAGTCTTGCAACGCCTCGATGTTGATCCCCAAGGCAGTATCTCAGGGGAAGCCGTTCATCTTCGTAGGTGTCAACTACCACCTTGAAGGCTTCGGCTTCCTAGGAAGAAGTAGGTGCTTGCCGATAGTATAGCCGACCTGGTCCTTTTTGATCAGAGATTGGCCTTGGAATAGGTAGAGGACGATATTGCAGCCTTTAGCGGTGACCCAGACGCAGTCACAATCTCGGCGAGAGCGCGGGCGCAATGAGTGTCTTAAACCACATGGCTCTTTACGATAGCAACAACTAGTACAAGGGTCGGCCTTCATTCAGGGGAGCTATCATAAGCAGCGGCATGCTGACCTCAGCGGAGCCAGTTGACGGCGTCAAGGCGCAGAACGTTTTTGATACAGTGGTCCAGGAAGCGGGTTGATGTGCAGTCCCAGACAAGGAGAAACTAGACTGTCTTCGTGGACTTGATTACGAAACATTTCTCAATGCCACAGCCGAGATTCCTAGCTATCTGGGATATCACGGAATCGCACTAACCTATTTCCCTCCACCTGACGGTCGTATCATCACCGCCAGTGCAGAGATATTGGCCCGGAAGAAGAAGTACGCAGCTGTACCAATGATCATTGGCAGTACTCACGAGCAGTTCCGCTTCCGACAAACTGCACGTGATAGGCAAGCAGGGACAGTTCAGAATAACATCGCCATGATAGCTAAGAAAGATCTTTACAATAAACCGACCTTACATCGTCACTCCAGCTCACTGTGCCCTCGACTAAAACAACCGGCAGATTTCTTGTCATAACCAGTGGATAGATATAGGATAACTTAGGCAGAACTTTATAGAACTTTACAGAACTTTGAACCTCTATACTAAGTGATGAAAAGACTTATATAATTTAGCCTAAGCGTAGGACTCTTGTCTAAGTTTATTCTACCATTCTCTTCTTAAGTTCCAGTCTTATCTATTCACCCCTCCTCGACTCCTGTACCAAAGACAAAGAAGCAGCCAAACTAGCATTTGCCAATTCCTTGAACACACGCCGAGCCTCACGCAACTCCGCTCTCGCATTATCAAGCTGCGCTTGGAGAGCTGCGATCTCATCAGCACCACTCTGTGGATCACTGCCAGCCAGCTTCTCCACAGCACGGTAGGCAGCGAGCATGTTGTTTGCACGGCTAGCCTCTTCTTCAGACTGCCAGAAAGACCCCGGGGTGCCGAACGGTTGTGCCGTATTCAGTGCCTCTTCCATCTGTGCGAGGGCTCTCGGGACCGTGTTGAACACAGCGTTTCTCTGGATGAGAGGGCTGAGGCGTGCCGACAGGGTGTCGATCTCAATCTCAAGCTGGGCGATACGTTCTCGGAATTGGGGAATTGATCGGACTGTTTTCTGTGGAGGAGATTTCGTAGCGGCAAGATGACTGCTTGGTATAGAAGCTGTTTCTGGATCTTGGATCGAAGCAGCGGGCTCACGTTGTTCCTTTCTGAAAGTCACGTTCTGAGTACCAGTACTTGGTTCATCGTCTGGATTGAGGACTATGTTCAGGAGCTTTTGTCTTGTGGGCGACGGGTCTAGCGAAGTGGGAAAGCGGAGCTTGTTGAGTAGAAAGCCGAGAAAGCAGACAACGAAGACTCCACAGTTGATCGAGTCCTGTTGTTGAGGACAAGCCTGTCGAGAGTGGTCAGCATGCACACGAGGCCAACGAGACCAATGACTCTCAACTTACCATACGCGAAAGGCGGACAGAACGATCAAGTATGCTCTCGAAGCAGCCCTGGATCCGAGTCTCACGTTGTCCGCTGTGAAGGCTGTCATAATGCTCGATGCAAGCTTGCTTCGGGCGCAATACGGCAAGACTCCAATGTTCACCTTGGTACTTGTGGTGAAGGGGGATGTAGATGACCTCGTTGGACTCGCAGACTCTGGCAAAGCCGGCTGCCGGTCGGTGCGACTTATCGACCTGAATGTACAGCGGGTCGAGGACTTTTGCACTAGGGCTTCTGCTGGTGCGTGTGATGTGCTGTAGCAATAGATTGAGCACGTCGTCTGTCAGCTGTGCGGCGGGATCTTGGAGTTGCTGTTGGGCTCGTTGTGAAGTCGTTTGGCTGGTGTCTTCTTCATCCGCAGGGCCATCATCATGATCAAGAATCGATGAAGGAAACGACTGACGGCGGCGGAGTGGTGAGGGCGAGGGGCGTGGGTGAGGGGAGGAAACATCAAGGGCCTCGTAGCCATCGTCATCAAAATGGATCTCTTGCCTAGGGGAAAACAATCCATCTGAATGGTCGAGAGGTGGCCGCTCACGGCGACCGACCTCCACAGAAGGAGAACGTTCGACGGCGTGCTTCGGGCGTTTCGCAGTACGGTCCTGCTCCGAGTCCCTCGACTTTGGTTCTGATTCTGATTCTGATTCTGACTCTGATTCTGACTGGGGATAATCGGTCTCGTCACGGGCGTCAAGCTGACCGCCCGTTCCTGGGTTCAATCCGATTCGCAATTTGAATGCGCGAAGGGCCGCACCAGCCTTATCCTTGGTGAGAATGTGCTCGCCGTATGTAAACGCCGCATCGTGCAGCTCGCCGCCGGGCTTCCATAGGTCGGGCAAGGCAACATGATGCTTGAGCGCAAGCTTGGTTATTGTTGTAAGGGGCGCCGTAGTGCTGATTGAGACGCTCTCTGTTATTCGGGGCATGAATGTCGGATGCGCCCAATTTTGGCGTCCGCCCCAAGCCTCGTCGAGGTAGGTCAGTTGCTCGTCTCTTCGGGCCGCGCGGCGGAATTTTGCCCCGTGCTCTCGGACTTGGTGCTGAATTACTCGGAGCTTGGGAGCCTCTTTGACGAGGCCATCGAGGACCTCACGGCGCTCGGGCGCAGGGAGCTGTTGAAGGTTACGGTTGACGATGTCGGCCGCGGCGACATTCGCTTCGGGGGAGTCGTCCACAACGCGATCGATGAACCTCTTTACCTTTGAACATTTAGCTTCGTACGAGGATTTTGAGTAGGTCGTATGCTCACGTGAGCCTTTCCATCGGGCGCAGCAGCCCGAGGCGGCGTACCAGGCGCCATTTGGGAGGACCACTCATAATGAATCCCGCCAATATCGGCTTGGTGTTGTGGACAAGAGACGCGGGCGACCCAAGACGCGACTGGGGGACGTGGTATTAATAATTGGGGCGGAATGACGTCAGGTTGATTTTCAATTGACACCCTGATGTCATTTTTGGTGGCCGCCACAGCAGCCACAGGAGCCACAGCCATAACTACCGCCACACCTCCTGTGAGCACAAGCCACTGCAGCTGCACAGGTAGGCAACGTTAAAAAACGAAGTGTTGCATCCGTGTAAAGTGTACTCTGTAGATTAGTCACAACGAGCATTCCAGCTTTGATTGAAAGAACCTTCTTTTTTGAATTGAAGGTGGAGGTTGCGTTGGCCTTATCAAGCTATCCATTTCGCGTAGTGAGTTTAATCAGAACGATCAGAGAAGGCTGGGCTGGGCTACCCACAGTGTGACAGCAACCGCTTGATATTCAGAAAGAGTAAGGCAATATGACTTTAGAAGAGTATGGTTAAAAGTACTCAGCAAAGAGTTACCCAAGTTTAGTCTATATTCCCTAGATCTTTAATTACTTACAATAAGAAGGTTATGAGTTCCCTAAACTAACCTAAATTACCCTAAGTCTATTAGGTCCAGCCGTTATATAACCCTGTTTGTCTTTTGTCGGGCACTTACATTGAAGTGGATTGTATCATCCTCTTAACGTGATTTACCGCTCCAAGCTTTAAAGCTCCGGGAGAGCTGACACAGCTCCTCTCATCACACCCTTGGAGCTGTAACGTCGTCCAAACAGGCCAAAGTCAGTCTCCCCGCCTCTTTGCAGAGGCTGCTCTTTCGTGGCCATGCTCCCGTCGACTAGAACTTGGCCGTGGACCTTACCGAGGTTATAACTTGAAAATCGGGTTGAAGCTTTATTTATATCAGCAGCATCGATGCCACGCTCTCTCCATGGCGGTTACTCAATGCGTGACGTCAACTGTGCTCTAGGCCAGCGATGCTGAAGCAAAGCTCCCTAGGCCCAGAGGTTATGTCAGTGACAAACAAAGGTTAACTACAAGTCATTTGTACAGCGAGCCCACCCCGAGGTTCACGATGAGTCTTTCGGATCGGTTAACGGATCACATGAGATTAGGGACTGGGCCTCAAGTTATTATCTACTAATCGTGAGGTACCTGGAATTTATGGTCAGGTTTCAAGAGAACCATTAGCGGAATGCCACAGTACACTTGGACCAGAGCCCCGTCAACTTCACACCAGTATCATACCTAAGCCTCAGACTATCGAGCCAGCAGCCAGCCTCCAGAACTCATGGTTGCCAGTCACCTGTTCCGTAAGCACACAAAGATGTACCCCAAGATCCCTCATCTTCAGCATGTTCGTGTAACACTGGTATTTCATACTGTCATCATGTGGCTGTTATATTCACAATCGCCACCCGTGACAATAAGCCGTACACCTCAGTCATGGTTTAACTTAATCATGTCCTATGAACTTTGGTTTCGGCAACCTGAACCTATTCGACTTCCATGGCTTCACGAAGATCAGCTTTCATTATGAGGTGGGGTATCTCGTCTCTGATCGACATGTCTACCGATAAGCGTTGACGTATCAGTCGATGGCGTAGCAAAGGCAGCTCTCAGAGTCATGCCTGGCAGTATCTTTTCCCTTAAGTCTCAACGGGGGGAAGTACATTCTCAGGGCGGTAATGTGGTCTTCGATCGCTAAGGCCTCATGGCTATCAAGATCAAGTTTATAATGGATTTGTTCGTAAGCCGTTCTGATTGCATTAAGTTAGGCGAAATCTATATAAAAGGAGGCTAGATGCTCAACAACTGGATTGACTCTGCAAACGGATTGCTGTGGGAATGGATTGAGATTGAAAACAGTATTAAGATCCATTCCAAGTCAAGGTCTAGACTATACATGCTTGTTGTAAAGGTTCGCAACGAGATACGGCCTTGAATACCGTGGCGGTGAGAATGTAACGTGACCTCAAGTTCTTTCCCTTCCCCTGAATGACGGCCATGTGCCTTGGGGGCCTCGTAGTGTGATTGCGCGTTGTGTTTTTCGTGGACCTGCTCTGCCGATCTATAAACCTTGTAACAGGAGTAGACATATTAAAAGTAGCGCAAACAAGATAAGATATCCTGAGATATCGTTGAGGCTTATATCAAAGCTTGCAGTAGCTCGTCCATGACCATTGTGATTGTCGCCTTGTTGACCGTGATGAAGAATGTGATATTGACTATTGGTGGCAGAAAATTGTCTCTTTCTCGCTGCAATTCGTCATTCTCAGATTAATTAGGTCTACTCCGATCTAGGGTCCAAAGATAGCTTTACTCTTCGAGTCGAAGGAGTCATAACCCGAACCCTAACTCTCGAAAGTATTTGTCAGTTTTCATACCGTCCACTGAGAGCAATTCTTCAATTGGCAAGTCAAGAACTAGTGATAAGATAGCGTTCATGCATAGCTGAAGCTCGTCCACGAGTCCTATTAGCTTTTTCAAAGTCTTCCCGAGGAAGTGGTGGTCGTATTCTGGAAACATTCTCTTTACAGCCAATGCCGCCAATGGAAGTTCGGCGGTCGCCCCAAAATCCATGTGATCAGCCTTGGTAAAGATGGTGTCGATACAGTACAGGCCATAATCATATGATGTGGAAGATGGGGTCACAGTTGTGAGCTAGATGTGTTATTTGCAGTTGAGACTTGTGGCTGAGAGCTTAAATCAGCGGACAGAACTTAGCTTACAGCAATCCCGCTCAAGTACCCCAAGCTTGGACATTGAACTAATGGGTGTTCCGAGAGTTTCCATACACGGCCTCCGCCCTGGAAAATACCAGTAGATGCCCGCTCTTTGGTGAACAGGCCAGGGAAAGCAGCTCTCGCAGCGACCATAGAATAATACAAGTACTCTGAATGTGCCACGTAGTTGCTGAACTTGTGTGTTATGTGATTGTTTCCAAGGCCAGCAAAGTCCGTAGCAATGATAGCATATCCGCGAGCAACGAGAGGACCCCAAACGGCGGATTCGAACAAGCCAGGTCCGTTTGACGGAGCGCAGCTTCGAGAGACTCCTATGCTGGAGTGGGCGTAGACGACAGGCCTAAAAGTTTTAGACTTTAGCACAGACAAAGGAATCGCGATGAAATCAGTTGAGGGCACTGAAGATCCATCCTGGTCACAGGTCGTGTATTGGAAGCGGTAAATCGAAGTCCCATAATCGATGGCCAAGCTTGAGGTATTTATGGGTTCAAGCTTGAGCAGATCACCAGGACGTGACGACAAGAAATTAGCGGCTGTCTCGTAAAAGGTATAGTCAAAGTCAGTTCCAGTGATTGCCAAGTCAGCGGTGTTAGCGATATCGATAAGCGTTTAACACATTGATCCGCATCCAAGCTTCTCTCCAATCTCCGGCGTCACGTTGAAGCCTCCGGCCTGGCCTGAGGACTGGCATTTTGCATATGTGGTAAGAAAACCAAAGAGCAAGAAGGTTTTTAGGAAAGGCATAAGGAGTAGGTCTATTTATTGATTAACATATGAAGTGCAGTAAGTCCAAAACCTCAGATAACGATGATAGTTTTGATGATAGCCTGGTATACGGTGTAGTCCAGCGCTAGATAGCACATATGATTGTATAATGCTACTAATGCAATTCTCTGGTCTACCTTGTCGATCTTGTTGATATCTGTAAATACATTTCTGACCCCGAGGGTTCCGCAGCTCCGTGGACTTTTCGGCCCTGGTAAATCGATATAGGGGAAACCCGCCGCGTCATTGTGTAGAAGAAACACATAATCTTGGCACATGCCAAGCTAAAGAAAGTTCATCATCGTCTTTAGGGATTTCCTTAATAGCGAGAACCAGGATCGGCAGTGTGAGCGCACAAGGATATAGGGTCCTACCAATGCGTCTCGCGGAACTACGCCCCTCGGACCTCCTGGAACAAACCATAATTGAACACGCAGAAGTGCGAAGTAAGCGCAAGCTAGCCCTAGAAGATGCCAATAGATATTCACACGTTCATTGTCTGGAGAAGCAGTTATATAGCCAGTGTCTGTAAAACAGTAACAAAAGCGTCCGGGTCCTTTTACGCTTCAATCGCCCTATTTGAATAAAACGTCGGACTTCCGGCCAGATGGGCCAGGATAGAGCTTATCCGACTCCGGAAAGCAGTCCTTAGGAGATAAGGTTTTGACAGGAATTAACAAGTAGGGCGGTCCGCTTAAGAGGCTTTCAAACAAGCTCGGATGCGAAGCCTGGTGGCCGACTGCACTCACCGAAGAGTGCAACAAAGCTACTCGTATCCTGACATCGTTTTGCAGGATGTGGATGAGCTTTGCACTTCCCCAGTGATATACTGGCAGCGAACAGAAATCAGTGCTACACTGAGCAATTTAGTGGCTCCTAGGTCTCAGCAGCCAAAAGGCAGACCAGCGGTTCTAGTCAAGATTCCCACACCAGTATTACATGGATGTGTTGGGCTCGCCATGTTCACAACTATGCGGACTGGACTTTGGATGTCTGGCGCTGGTGGATCTGGGGTGGTTGTTGCCCGCAAGGAGAATTGTGACTGGTCGCCACCGTCTGCAATCCATGTCCAGACGTTGGGCTTTGGTTTCATGGCTGGGATTAATATCTACGATTGTGTTTGCCGTGATAATTACTCGAGAAGCTTTGAGGGCATTCAGCAAATTTCGTTTTGCTCCCGGTAGTGAGCTGAGTGCCGTTGCAGGGCCAGTTGGGTTAGGTAGCCTCGTGGAGATTGACATGTCCAAAGGTGATAAGCCCACGTAGAGTGTCATGGAGCGATTGAGACGCAATGTCCTGTAGAATGTAGAAGAGAGACGGCAAGCCGGATTAGAAACGGCGCGTTCCTGTTGCAACGGTGCAGGCCTGTTGGCCTATGATGATATTACTTACAGCAGTTGGGCGTATACTCATGGCTTGCTGCGTTGATGTAGTCAAGATTGATATATGTTAGTTGGCAACAGCTGTATTTGCCGCCTCCCTGGTCCCTTGGTTGTCTGAGCGTTAGACTTTCGACGGATTGTTAAAACTGCAATGAACCTGGTTAGATGAATCAGTCAAGAGTACCTGCATGAAGCCGTGTCTTTTATTTGGCTATTCGGTTCTGTGTCTTTATACGTTCAGCCGGATCGAGGGTGATTGAATGTAGTAACGAGCCCATGATTGGTTGGGTGACGTACGTTGACTGGAAAGGGGGGCGAGTCTTATCAAGAAGAGCTGATGGTTGCCTTGTTGGAGGACTCGAGTCAAATGAGAAAGAGGGGCGGTACGGGCGTACGTGCTCTCCATGGTGCTGACGGATGTTGAGGCCCGCACAATTGTGCGTCTAATCCAAGCTTATCCGTCTCCCGAAGTTTCGATCAAAGAGGGGCCTGTGACACTGAAAAGGGAGGCCCAGCGCACTCTAGCGAGACCCTGATTCACGGAAATTGTCACAGCAGTTTAAAGGCTGTGTAAAGCGTATCGGAATTTAGTTGGCTGCTGATTATGATTGCTACTGTTGCATTTGTCCCGGCTGCCATGTCTCAAGTTGTCTTACATGCCTTCAATGAAAGGTTGGATACTCTCGAGCTTGTATCCTTCTCATTCATCACGATACTCACCAACCCCCTAGGACAGATATTTCAGTCGGTAGCAGCGGTGGTTACTGCTTATGTGTGCTTGGAGCGCATCGAGAGGTTCCTCGAGATAGAGCCTATTGCTAACTACCGACAGCCTCCTGTGACTCTCCATCCCACAGATGATGAAAAGATGCCAACGGGTCTGGGTGCTTCAAGACCCTCGCTTTCAGTCGTCAATGGTAGCCTTGGGTAGACATCCGAAAATGGCACTGAGAAACATCCCGGAAGACTTGAATCACAAATGATCGGTTGGCCATGTTATGTAATGTCATCACATTATTGGGCTTCCAGATATGACTCCAGTTCTTATGCCAGACGTCATGATCGGTATATCTCCGTGCCAACAGTCTGGTCGTATCCTCATCGCTCATTGGTGGGTCGCTAGAGCATGTCCTGCACTTTCTTCAGCCGAGCTGGGCACTTTTGAAAGTTGGCCTCGTGGGGGCCTAAGCAGTTGATACACTGTTCTGGTGTAGTGTAATTATGCACTTGTCAGAGATTTAGATGTAGATAGGGCCACTTGCTTGATAATTGTATACTAAGAAAGTATGATGAGAAGGGATCGTTTGACTGATTAGTCAGTACATCAAGAGACTAGGACCTGATACAGAGCAACTTCGAAAGCTCAGTACGTACTTCATGGGTGCTTACAGGTAAGCAGGAGTCATGCATTTCATCGTTGATCCACAAACCATCCCGACTAACAATATATCGCCTGGCCCTGAATAAAGGGAGACGTGCACACCCCTCTTGCGAGAAAGAGAACGTGGCGTTGGTAGTATCATATTGCGAGCACACCCCTTGCTTCGGGGTGGGGCGAATCAATATGCGCCGACAAAAATAGAGAATAGATGGTATGGGCTTATCAAGTGAGAGTTAGGAATATGTGTATACTTCATTTACATAAATATCGACCCCGTTTGTATCAGCTCCAATATTCTTCGTAAGACGCCCCTCCCAACCCGCCGTCCGTAAAGTCCAATTGCAATGCATCTGTGATGAATTGAGTTGATCCAAGCCAACTGGACCAAAACTGCAATGTATCCGAGTTGGAGCCATTGTAAGAGCCAGATGCCACAGTACCAAAGCTCGCATCGTCACTCCAGGTTGCAGGCAGTCCCTCATTGAAACCCAGCCCATAAGACCGAGTTTCAGAAGAGTTCTTGGTGAAGATCAGTGAGCCATTCTCGTTTTGTTCCAGACCATCAACCGTTCTTTGTGAGCTAATGATGGCTTCTGCAGCGTTCAGAAAGGACCGGCATACTTCATAGAGACGACGGGAGCCTGGAGAAAGGTCTTGAAGGCGGGCGAGAGGTTTCACCGTGTCCTGAAGGAGTGCGATGCCAATTTCGTCGGATGTAGCTATGGCATGTGTGAAAACGATGACATAGGGTGTAAGGGATGGGTACAGGAGAGTGCTGCCAACAGGTCAGTTTAATTCGGGCAAAGGCAATAAGATAACAAGACGAGATTTACGTTCTGACGTAGTACATCTATTGGTAGATGCTTCGTGACTCAAGGCTGGTGAAGCACTTAAGGTGGCTCTCAAGACTGAATTTCACAGCGTTGTAGCACCGTGAAGATATCTCGACAGAGTCAACAAAGCCCAGTTCAGCCCGGTACACTACCGTTAGGACGGCGTAGGTGATAAGGTCAGCGCTCTCCATCGCCATTTGCAGCACGTCGGAATAGCAAGCGTCGGATGCTTTGAGCTACTCATGTATTAGACTTCACAGCTTTGAGGTTGAAATATGGAATGGTCCTACCGACTGCAGCTCTTCTCGCAGGCTTGTTATCCGCATAGCTAGGTCTTGGGTGATATGTGATCGTTCGCGCTGAGAGTGCTTGGCTGTGCTTGTTGAGTAGAGCTTATCATAGACCTCACCTTGTATCTTTGCGAATCGGATAGTGATATTAGTGTACAAGTCCCAGGGCCAGTGCTTTAGGTTCTCAGAAATCGAAAATGGCTCAACGTCGATGTCATTATCGTTAAAATTGGAACTTTGCCCCAACACAAGGGATAGGGTCTTATTGACTACGTAGAGGCTGTACAACGTATGCCGTTTCGACTGGGAAGCTTCCAATGTGTCATTTTGATAGGTAGACTCTCTGTGATAGCCGAGTTTCTGGCACATAGTCTGCCCCATTGAAACATACGTCCAAGCCAACCAAAGTCTGGACTAGTCTTGGGCCCTCGATGCCTATAGAAGATCATTAGCCAAATCTGCATGCAATCGAGGGAAGTCGGTATGTACGGCCATGGAAACAGTCTGGATGTTCTCGAGTGTCGGTATCACCAGGCCTTCATAGCGCTCTAAATATTGATCGAAATTCCTCTTGCATTGATCGGCGCAGTCGTTGAGATTGTACGCAGCAAAGACTGGATTGTTGTGCTGAGAGAACTCTTGGATGACGTTAAATAGCATTCCATGCATCAAGGCCATCGACTCCGAGGGGACTTCTCTAACTGGAAAGTATATCTTCTGGCAAAGACGTTCCAGTTGACCATGGTCGGTCCAGCTACTCGTGACGCCGCACAATGGCGTGGTGACTGGGCATGATCAGCTCTTTCCGTGCACAAGATGGGTCGGCACAAGGGCAACCTTTTACTTTATTGACTAAAGCAATGATCAGTTCGATAGGGAGAATATCTGTCTTTTCCCCTCTGATATCTTGATTAGTACTTGCACAATAGGTCTGACGGGCAGACTCGATCTTGGACAAACTGTCTTGCAGTGACGACAAGGTAGTGATCACTGCAGGACTTGCACTACCTCCTACTATACTAGTCGCAGATCTGCTCGCTTCTGATGTCTCCTTGATAAACGAAGAGTCTTCTTCGAATGTAGTGAAACTTGCGGGAGACTCATGATTCGTTGCGATGGAGTGGGGAGATGCATCATTTGGGTTTTTGGGCTTATCTGAGACATCCAGAAAGGCCTTTTCGATGACTTGAAGGCGTTCCTGGATTGCCTCGATCTGCGATTCACTGTGTAAATTAGCCAATTGAGTACATGAATTATGACCTAGCAGCAGAAACACACCCAATGGTTAGAAGCAGTTTTGCGGGGCCGCTGCTTAATAGGTCTTGGTGTGGGCTTGCATTCTATGCCTAGAAGCTGACAGCTTATGCATGGTATAGCTTTACTGCATCGCGTCTAGGAGAAGTTAGGCGACAGGTTTGGGTGAAATCTGGAACCTTGCACGTATTTTTCGGAGACGGCAATTCTGGCACTAGTGTCATTAGCCTGAGAGAGTGAAGTGCGAGGTGTGGGGAGAGGGGAGATACCGCACGCGATAGAAACGAAACCCGCTCGTTGGGAGACTCGAGTCCAGCCATTTGGTTAAGTCTGCAGGTTGGCCCTCTCGTTGGATGTGATAGCTATGCAGTGTGTGGAGTTGCCCGGATAAACAGGCACATGACGAAGGGGCCCATTGGCCTTTGACGGTCCTGACTGTAAGAAGTCGTTTCACGACATGACATTTACATATACCTACACAATCACTCCCTCGTGGCTTGCTAGGAAGCAACTACCAAAGAGGCCCTTGTCGACCTCCAGGTCGTGATGGAGGTGAGTTCCGAGAATCCCTTTTGTCCATAGTCAGCCAAGTGATGAATGGTGTAGGGTCGCTGGCCCACTAGCTCCGCTTTCGCGGACAACGGCACTCGGCCGTTTTCCGCAATCCAAAGCCGGAGTTTTATGGACATATCCAAAGCATCGAGAGTGGGCCTTTGAGCGGGGGTTCAATACTTACACTATAGCCATTCTACAGATAGATATGTCCACGCAGATCACCCCATAGCACTTATTCTGGAACTGGTCAAGATCAGGAAGGTGATAATTGATATTTTCGGCGACTGGAAAGCCTATTAATGTTCAACGAATCCAGTTTCACAACTAGTTCTCTCACTTCCAATTGTTCGGCATGAGGGGGTGATTCTACTCCTCTCGGACCGAAAGAAGCTACCAATGGTTCGATGAGAGCAGGTTACGGGCAATGAGTATCTTGCCTGTATGTGTTTATTGGTGTTCTTTAACTTTGTGCGCTGGGGGCTAAAGCCTCTTTTAACTACCGACAACCTTATCGCAGAGAGCAGGTTACTTAACAATTGGAGAGACTATTGTTCATCACACCGCAGGATGCGAACATGGCACTCGGGGTCAGGACGCTTGAATCGCTGCATCTACCTAGCCCAGCCACATGGAGCCTGAATCACACTGTAGGACAACCAGCTCCAGACTCTTGCAAGCTTCAGTGCAATGGACCCCGGACGTATAGCTCTATAACGAAGCTCTTTCACCAGGTCACTAGTGGTGTCTTTAGTACCTCCGTTCTATAGCTCGTAAGCCGAGGCCATATGCAGGGGGGCTGTAGAAAGTAGTGCCTGATGGAAATGACCACATTTGAAGAATTCATCACTTTTCGTAAATTACTTTGTTCGGCCTCATGAGGAACGCCAAGCCGAACATAGCTATCTGCTCATTTCCCTTTCACTCATTTTTCGCGCTGGCTACCTTTGTTTGTGTCTCCATTTCTTACAGCCTTCCGTGTTTCTGGCCCTTAAGAACGTACGAACAAGGCTTTAGTTTGTGTTATTGTTGGTTCTCTCTGGTACAGAAACGCGGCTGCCTCTCACGGCCCGAGATCGGATCCTGAAAGGCCGTTGGTAAAGGTGATAAAATACAGTTTGCCTCTCGTGTTTCAGTCGCTGTTGTCATCTGCTTCCTTTCTTACGCGCACATCCAGCTCGGAATTGCGAATTCCGTACCTTTCAAGCTGCCCAAAGCTCATTACTTCTTATGGCGCCATACAGGCATGGACTGCAAGGTATTCATGGAGTACTACGAAAACACTCATTTCGACCTCATCATCGACAATGTCCCCAAGCACGACGACTTCCGGCGCCTCTATCCGGCCTGGCATCGCAGCGGCACGGCCCGATATGATTTGAAGAAGCCCTTTGACGTAATGACAGTGATAACATATGGACGCCGCGCAAGCTTTGAAGAAGGAGCCGCTAATATCTATAGCCCACCGTTCAATAAGATCCTTACCCAAGATGAGAGGCGTTTCTTGGACTGCTCTCTGATGAAGTTCGTGCTAGTCCACGAGGTCATCGTTCGAGGGCCGCAGGATAAGTGGCAGCCTGCACCCCACGTTGCTGACGGTGCTATGTTAGTCCGCTTAGTCCGGAGGCCGGATGGACAGGATAGCACTGAGTTTCGCAAATCATATGAGACTTTGCAGGCGACTGCCATTCTATCTGCCGTCAATGGCTGCGTCGACTACCGCTGCAATTACGTCTCTGAGTTAGACCAGTACAACTTCATGACCTCTCAACTTACGGAAGAATACGGCCATGGCTTGACCGCCTCCTTTGACCTTATCGAGGAGTTTTGCTTCTCCTCTGTCGCTAACGCTGAGGCTGGAGCGCGAGCTCTAGAGGGTATTGGTGTCCACTCAACACTATTGCGGGGCATGCGGTACACTCATGCAATAGTTTGCGATACGCGTCAACGCACCTATTGAATCTTGACAGGCGACCTTTGTGTGGCTGGGACTTAACACACCAATCTAACAAGGCGCGAATCTGGTGCACTGTGTCTTGGCCAGTCAGTCTTGGGAGTTGTTGGCAGTAGTTCGCAAGGCCAGTCAGGTGGGTTCCATAAGTTACTTTCTGCTCGAACAGCGCCCGCCTCGCTAGAATGCCATCTAGCTTCTCCGGATGCACTTAAGCTAGGCTCTATATTATTCTGTCAAGCTTTCTTAATTTATCTTCAATTGTCCTTAAAAGTCCGTGAAAACTGGATGACTCATCGCCGGGCGGTGGTCCTGAAAGTTCTGTTGACAGGGCTCAACTACTGAGCCCATACGGGGCTCTCAGCTGTTAATGCGGAAAGCATGTAATAATAGCATATTAATGTCCGCAAGTCTTTCCTACATATTGTTGAAATATCATCTTATTACATCATGTAGTTTCCTGTTTTAAAGGTCTCAAACTTACTAGATTTTGATATCATAGCGGCTTGCTGCCACTCTGAACCTCGCAGAGAGCGATGGACGCGACTCTCTGGGCTACCGATATACGGAGGATGATATCCACCGAAGAGGGGTACCTTGATATCTAGTTATCTTTCTTCCCCTAGATTTGTTCGTTTGAACCGAGTAAAGGATTGTTCGAGCAGAAGACAAATGCTCAACGGGATGGCCGCGTACCCTTGAGCCAGGTGCGCACAGACAAGAATAGCGCTCAAATCCAAGAGGGCCTTTTTTTCCCCTCAAAAATATGTCCGAGTGGGTCTACCAGACATCGTATGATTGGCCGTTTTGTGCTCCATGACAAGGGCGTACACGGAGCACTAGACTAGCCCAGTCAGATCTTATAAATAAACCGTGAATGTACCGGGTAGCTGGCCTAAACATGCGACCATCTTAAAGCATGAAAGCGTCCAGTAATAGCATAACCTGCATTTAGAACGAAGCTGCGGCGCTGGTCAATTTGAAGCATGACTTCGACAAGTCTGACAGTACAGTTAAATCCAGAGGCAATGGCTTTGGTGTATGTATATGGCGCATATCATCACAGGAAGTATTGTCCTCACCTCGACCGCGGTCAGTAGAGTACTTTCTATCTTAGTAGCTAATGTATAGCTTATAGCATGGCAACGGCTAGTACTAGAATTAATTTAAAGAGTAGTTAAAGCTTTATACAACCTCTTTGAAGAAATTTAGTAGAATTGCGTTCAAGCAAGAGGCAGGGAGAGATATCAACAGTATTGCGTTGTGTTGTTCGCAGTGCCGCGCGCCTAGTAGCTGGTTCTAAAAATAGAACACTATTCCAATCTGGATAAAAACAATACAGCCAATGACTTACCAGAAGGCGGCCAACCAAACTTAACTTAAATTAGCTGCCCTCCCCATGGCTCGAGCCGACTAGTTGGACATTTTTGTCCAACATTCTACCCCTCTTTATCTAGACACTTCTGAGAGCAGATCTTGCAAGTAAATGCCAGTTAGTCGCTATGAGTCTACTCTGCGAATACTGCAGTAAAGTGCCACTAAGTCTCGAGGAGATCAATTCCCGGAAACACCAACTTTTCAAACTAGGATCTTGGCCTCGTATCTTTGCCAGCCCTTGCCCTCTGTGCCAACTGATCCAGAGCGCTTACCTCCAAGAACGCCGGATAAACTCTTTCAGAGACGACTTACCCAGTTCACATGCGACATTGAGCTGGGTAGGTTATGGACCGGGGAGGCGCCCGGTTTATATTGTTAACAATATCTTTCGCCCTTTCATCTCTTTCGCCGCAAAGACTTCCTCTCACACAATGTCAACTATTCCGTCTGACCAAGACATATTTTACCTTCTTCCTCTCCTTGAGACCGAAATAGACGTGCGGAGAGTCTTGCAGTGGCTATCTGAATGTACGAAAACCCATGGAGGCGAGTGTTCCTTGGAATATGCCCCTTTCAACTCGGCATTTCCAGGTCTACACGTCCTGCGCCTACTCGATGTTCAACAAAACTGTTTAGTCGAAGTCCAGGATGTTGTTCCCTATCTAGCGTTAAGCTATATTTGGGGTGCCGTTAAAAACATTAGGCTGACTCAACTGAGTATGAAACGTCTTTTGACTCCTGGTTCTCTAGAACGATTGAATGGACTTCCCAGAACTGTCCGCGACGCCATGGAACTGACCAGGAAGCTGGGAGTACAGTATCTATGGGTAGACGCCTTATGCTTGATCCAGAACGATATGGAGGACCTTGAGAGAGGCATTAATGTTATGGACCTGATCTACGAACGTTCCCTGTTGACGATCATCGCTGCTTCTGGGAATGACGCCAATGCAGGCCTTCCGGGAGTCCGAGCACGAAGTCGGCCGTCTTTAAAGCAAACTATCGAGATTAAGCCCGGAATTAGTTTGGGGTTATATATGGAAATGTCTACCTTGCTCAACGCATCATCCTACAGCTCAAGAGGATGGACGTAGGTGCCCTTGCGCTTATTCCTCACTACTCAACTTACATCCTATTATAGATTCCAAGAGCAGACTTTGAGTCGGCGGGCTCTCTACTTTCTGGATAATAAAGTGTTCTTTCAATGCGGGGACATGGCCTGTTCAGAAGCCGTCATTGACCAGTCCGAACAACAAAGACCAAAGACTGGGCATATACATAATGCAATTCACATGGAAGATCCAGTGTATGATTACGCTACCATACTAGAGAACTACATGGCTAGAGCTCTCACAAATCAAAACGACGTGTTAAGAGCTATGGCAGGTATTATGCGCCGTTTCTCAGTCAAGATGAATTATCGTTTTATCCAAGGACTTCCTACTGAAGCTCTGGATGTATTCATCCTATTCAAAGCTCGAGGATCCTGCCTTCATCGCCGTCCTGGCTTTCCAAGTTATTCTTGGTGCGGCTGGCAGGGGCATATCAGTGTCGAAACACCGAGGAGAGACGAATGGTTTTCAATATGCACATGGATCATTTGGTATGAGCGACTTCCGTCAGGACGTATAAGTCTTATTAGGGATCCTACTGCAAGCGGCCAGATTTCTGCTGATGATGCGTCTCGTATCGGCTGCCGACAAAGACCAAGATTTGATACTTTGGTTCTCTCGGGTTTCCCCACGACACACACAGCACCCACCGAAACACCTCCCCTTCCTTCGCTGCTGCCACCATATCCTCTCTTGCAGTTTTGGACGTTATCACTACGCCTGAAACTCACCAAGCTCGATGTTTTCACTGGACAGTGCCAAGTCCAGGGCAAGTCTGGCACTGATTGTGGTGTATTATTTGTTGACGGATTTGATGACTTCACAGTGTTCTTCTCATCAGACCTACACGATGTAATTGTACTTTCGGACCACGCGGACATGGATGGCTATTGCTGTAATGTGATGTTGCTTGAATACAAGGAGGGGCTTGCAGAGCGACGTGGTATGGGATACATTTACCAAGACCGTATTCATGATTCATTTACACCAGGGCCTGTCTGGAAAGAGATTATCTTGGCTTAGGGTTATTTTCTTTTTAAATGCTTTAAATTTACTATAAAACTCTTACTATAGTTAGTCTTAAAGTTTAAAATAATTATCTTATAAGATAAAATTACTAAGCTATTTTACTTTTAATAACCTATTTTATATAATTTTCTGTAATATTTAAAGAGCTGTTATAGTTAGGGAATGTATTAATAACTTAGCTGCTCCATAGATGAGGAATCGTTCATACTACCGAAAGGGCCTAAATATATGCTGACAGGCTCTCATAGTCGGTTGGGTTTCCTGCTCGGGCGACAAGTCTGGCCAAAGCCGTTGGCATGACAGCCTCGACCGGCTTCATGGCCCTGATAGGGTATGTTGTGCCTAGAATATTAATGGTGTCCTTCGCATGCTCGTCGTAGACCAACGGGACGTCAAGACCGACGACGAATTCCATCCTGCTATACATTGTCTCATAGCATCGCAGTACTGTATCTTCTCGAGCCTGACTTGTGATGCCATATTCGTCTGGTCCATATCAGGCATTTGGCCTGAAAACGCCGGAACGACATCGAGACGTATTGCACGCACTTTTAGCTGTCCTTTGATGCCTTCGATGGTCTGGCCTCCTGGAATAGATCCCACACTAAGTACCACGTTGTGGCTTGGAGGCCAAATTGCCTGCTATAGTCTGGGACACATGATGGCAACTTGCCCATTCTTGATCGACTGGGCAAATACTCCAGGATCCAAAGAGAGCGTGCTTACTCAATGAGAAGGCACGTCGTTTCCTTATACAGCTCTGGGACAGACTACAAAATATCCGGGTCTAGCAAAACAATTCCAAGATTAGTCAGGGCTTGATAGAATGCGTAGACTTTATCCTCAAGCTGTGAAGATTTGGGGCCTCTTGAGAATCTAAAAAGGGCTCCTTGCACAGGGCCGGTCCGCCCAGGTACTCGCGAGCCATCTTTGAGCTTTGATCCATCAGTAAGGAATCTTAGCAGCCCGTGAAAGCTTGTCGTTTCGACATATGGGAGATAAATATGCTTTGGAACCTCGTCGATATATCTTTATCCCTTCCAGTCTATGCATGCGGCAAAGGTTTCCCATGGCACCTCAGTTTGGCCGTAGATCATGGCCGGATATTGCGCACAGCAGAGCTTTTTTAAGTGTACGCGCTCGGTGAAGGTCATGATTCTATCGTCACCATGACCAAGCCAAATCAGCACTCACTCTGCATATACATAAACGTCGCCCATTAGCGTGAGCTAGTGGTTCCTCTCTTGCATTGCTGCTTGAGTTGCTGTCCAATAAAACAAGTTTGCGTACTTTGTTCTTGAGGCGCAGACTTCAGTGTGCGGCCTAACAGTTTTCCGTAATTAGGAGCTGATCGCCGTCACATTCAGTTGGTTGATTCCCAATGAGCGCGCCACAGACGTATTAAGGCTTCAGCTTTATTCCTATTGGTTCTGACGGATTGTGATGGGGATCAAGAAGGAGAATTCGATTTATGCGGCCAGGAGAGAGAGGACGATGAGTACCCATTGGCATTATTGAGGATGTCGACCTCAACGGGCCGTTTTGGGGATAGACGAGTTAAACAATATTCCTATAGCATGTGCATTGAGTGACAAGGCGGAATCCTCTGCATCACTAGCTAGTTAAGAAATTTCATGATGCTTTTTAGGGGAAAGAGAAAACGATATCTCCTTTGCCATATTTGGGTTTTATGCAAGCCCTGTAAACCCATGGAAGTCATAGTCGCTAAATGTGATATTGAACTATGTAGCAGGCCTAAGCTTTATGCTACAAACGATTGCAATTGCTCAAATGACAGATTCATTATTAGCAATAGCTGTGAACAAGCGATGGTTCTAAAACAAAGTAGTAGTCAGCAGGAGCGAGTAAATATGAATTAAGCCAATGTCTTTAAAAACACTTAATAGTGAGGCAAATCAGCCGTTATCTCTTATATAATATTAGATGTGCAGGTGGACCGCAAGAAGTTCGAAGCCCTGAGGGTATTCTGAAGAGGCAATATACAAGGCTCTGCCATGACTCGTGTTTACAATTAATGAGACAATGGCTAAAAGAAGGTGAAAGACAATAGCAGACTAGGTGCCTAACTTGTAGGAAGGGCCGATGTTGATTGAGGAATTACATACGATGGAGAAAAGCGGTTCTGGGAAGCTTAGGATTAGGAGTCCCGCTAGGGTTTATATTTTAACATGCACTGTACTTAGGTGACACCTGCATACTTATAATTAAGCTGATTTATCTAATCATAGGTTCTCAGTTTCTTCCATGCATAATTCGTTTATTCCTTCTTTGTGACTACGTCAAGACTATGTTAAATTTTCTTACAAAATGTTGTTCCTGTGAAGGATTTTGAGTGAGAAGAGAACAGAAACTTCGATCAAAGGTTGGTTTCTCTTCCTGCCTCAAGGGCGGGCTGAGGTACTAGGCTGAGGAAAAGGGCGGGCTACCTGAGCATATCAAAGAGTTGGAGGAGACTCGGTACTGATAACGGCAGCTGAGTATGGAGAATGGTTCAGAAATTGATCCCTTTACGAGTTCGTATTATCAAACGGCTAGTGAAGCTCTACACTCTCGAGATCCCGGGTTTCTCTCGCAAGCTAGACCCCATCAAAAACTAGAAGGCTTTCAATCCTGATGCCACCAAATCCACGATGATACAGTAGTTCCCGGCCATGGTGAACTGGAAATTCAGCTAGAACCATGATGCTGATATTCTCATTACTAATGCCTGCTTCAGCTAACAGTTGAAGTACTGCACAAAGTGTCTTTCCCGTGGCAAGTACGTCGTCTATTATCACCACTGATGCGCCCCTAGGAATCAGACCTTGACTTATCTCAATCCTTTTCCCTCCTAGATCATTAGATCCCGAGTCCGAGATATGCGACGAAGGCTTTTTGACAGAAACGGTGGGTGGGGGAAGCTTGCCGGCTTCGCGGATTAGCGCCAAGGGGACGTCGACTTGCTGGGCTAACGGCGATGCATACACGAAGCCTCCCGTTTCGCAACAGGCCACCGCACCGACTTTACCCCAGTCACCTTTGAACTGAGTTCGTAGCAGAGAAGTGCACAAAGCCAACCCGCCCTGCTGTTGGGCGATGTTGAGGACATGTCGGAACTCGATGTTTGGGCGTGGGAAGTCAGGCACAGGAACCACCATACTAGCTAGTCGCTCCACGTCCTTATGGAGGAGTGGAAGCAGGTATTTATCCGCAAACCTTCTGACCGCTTTGTCCCCCGTTGCTTCATTGTCAAAGACAAGACTATGGCAGTAGTCCAAAGTGGTCGAATTAGACGTAGAATTACTACCATTACTGCCACGATTGTCATTCTTGCACTGGTAGTCATGTCCATCATCATCATTGACTTGGCACTTCCGGCGAGCTTGTCGCGTCGTTTCACTAGCTGTGACACGAACGTCAAGCAATCTGCTGTTCGGAACAAAATGCGACAAGGTTGCAGTCGGCGCCTCATCTCTCATCCCAGTGATGACTAGCACATCCATATCTGCTGCATCAGACACCACATTCAGGAAGTGCTTCACGGGCAGCCGAGGTTGTTGGCGCATCTGTTCCTTGAAGAATGCCGTCAATGCTGGTCTATGTTGTTCCTTATAAGTGCGATCGCCTAGCAGAGAATCCAAATCTGCGCCGGTAGCTGCTGCGTATTCTCGCTTGGTGGCATCGCTGATGCTGGCCTTGCGTGCCTTGCAGTGTTTGTGGGCACATGTAGGAAACACGGAGACCCAAATATCAGCGCAGTAGTCTTTACCGACGCCGCTTTCTCCCGTAACAAGAATAATTAGCTTCTGTTTCATTGGTGGTTTTGGGAGTGGACAGGTGTAAGCCAGCACGTTACGCGGGTCTAAGCTCTGCTTGAGCCCGGCAAGGCGCGGTCCGTTCGGTCCGAAGGCCTTGGCCGCCAGCGCCGTGTCTCTGGGATCTGGCCCGAGATCGGCACCGTAAGCTCCGCTGCTCAGGGGCAATAAGTCTCTGGCGACGTTATACACCCATTGCAGGGCACCCATAGCAACTTCAGTTCCGCCTTGGTCACGAGGCCAGACAGCAGTTATCACGCAGGCAAAATCCCAGTCTCGACAGCCAAAAGCGGTAACCTCATCGGCCACATCGCTGACAGCTCCACCTCCTTGAAGCAGATGAATATAACAGAGCGGAGACGGACGAGTCTCCATGGCCGCTACTAAAGCATTGGCGATGTCCATGGCCCCGATTTGTTTTAAAAACAAACACCGCTTGAATGAGGACGTCTTGCCACCACCGTGTCCACCGTGCATACCGGATATGTACATCTCAGTTTCGAACAGGCCGACGCCATCGACGGTCTCAAGAGTATCTTCCGGTCCTAATGCTGAGCCTAAGAGCATATGCGGTTGGGGAAGAACTTTAGTCGTAGAAGATTCGATCAACGTCACGCCAAGATGTATCTGCGCGTCATCTGAATACAAATACGCATCCGCGGAACAATCTCTGGGGAGAGTTCTGGTACATTGATCAAATTCGTGAAGCCTGAGCCGCGCTTCATGACCGCCATGTAGGGGGATACTCCAGTTTCGGACGGCATACGTTCGTGCCGCATGAGCTTTAAAGATAATGCTGACAACGATGCCAAAGTTCGTTCCAGCGCCTTTCAAAGCCCATAAAATATCACTTTCGACTTCTGACGGCATGGCATCGGTCGGTCGATATTCTCTTGGTACGCGACCGACGGATAGTACTTGACCAGAGGCAACGCTGACCATTACAGCACCCACGATAGCGTCGCACGCAAGTCCATGCAACCTGGCCAGGTGCCCAATGCCGCCCTGCAGCCATAGCCCTGAGCCTACACTTGGGCGGGCTCCAAGCGGTACTGTTAAGCCTACTGCCATAGTCTTGCGGATAATGTCTCCGGTGTTGCAGCCAGCTTCCGCGACAACTAGGGACGTAGAATCGAAGTTGGTTTCTCCTCCATCCCTCTCAGCTATTACCGTGTGTACTTGATCAAAAGCACTCATGTCGATGGCGACGACGTTTGGCCAAAGACACTGGCCGGAATGGCTTCCACCTATGACAGTAAGGCCAACGTTTTGTTCAAGGGCCCATTTCACGCACTGCTGGATGTGCTGAATCTGTGTCGGCTTAACAATCGATGCGGGACGGTGGAGACAGGCCTCCTGGTTTTTAATTCTCCTGGCTTGATTCACCAATGGCATCTGCGCCATCAAGTCCGGCAATGCAAATGCATGTTTCGTAAAAGTTGCCATGACGTTGGGCGAACTGAACAAGAGATGGTCGGGGTGTGCTTTTTCACGACGACCCAGTGCGTGGCACAGCTCACGCCATTTACCCCGAATGGCTTTGTTAATTGTCGCATCTCGGAAGGCAAAGCCCGCGATAAAAGAAGTAAATCGGTCCAGTGTCTCATCGTCGGTTGCTACCCGAGCGACCCCAGTAGGGAAAGACGCGGTCTGATGACATACCAAGCCGTCAAGGTTCAAGTCGCCATCGCGATGGAACACCACCACTATTCCCGGTTCTGGGTGCTCTTCAAGTGATTCCAGTGCTTGCTCGATAAATCGGCGTTTAGGTTTCATGCCGTACATGCTGTGACAGAATATCACGACATCGAAATTCCCAGCGTCACCTGTCCCAAAGCTGGTACTGCTCTTTGTGTTTTTGTTGTCGTTGTCTGGTGCGAATGGCATCTGATGAACATCGGGTGGGCGTTCTAGACATGGCAGAGGAGGCTCTGGTCCTGAGGTTGGGTGAAACCAATCATCTAATCTTGAAACAAACAAGTCATCAGGCTCGAATGCAACATATCTCCTGACTTTGCGCCTGATATAATAGGGCAAGTATCCAACAACGCTCTTTGGGCCTGGCCCAATTTCTAGTACCGAGATACGGCCCCGCGAGTTCAGTAAACGGTCTAGGAGCGAAGAGAGTTGAGGGACAATGAAGTTTTGGTATGTCATCGATTCCGAGCCTTGCATAAGGATGTCGAAACCGGCGCTGTACTCCACATTGGACAACGGCTGGGTTGCATGCGATGCTGTCGCTCCCGCTGCCTGCCTAAGACTTTGCTTCAGGATGTCGAGAGTGGCCATAGCAGCTTGCACTCTTTCATGTTATTAGGGATGATAGAGTATGATTGCGTATGGATGTTGGTTGAATTTAGCTGAACAGTGTAAATACGGACCTGAGCTGTTGCCGCTTCTTATCTGCCTTGATGCTGGGTGTAATAGAAGCGTCAGAATCTTGGGTTTATCCAAGAGCATGTATCGATTTTTGACTAACCAATCAAATAACTTTATTCTTATTCTTATGCTTTCTCTTATTAGTGAAATGTTCGCTCCGGGAGTTATTGAGATGATTAAGTCCTCGTTAGATAATGGGTGGAACTTTGATGTACGCGTAGGCCTTGTGTTATCTTTGCAACGTTAATATGTGACCACGTCAGCTCCCTCATCATTCCATGGGGTCTTAGCTCTCCCTATCAACGAAGACCACGTTTACCGCGTGGTGCGTGGAAGAACTTATGGGTTACCTTGCGCGAAACACCCTCTTTCGGCCGGCCTCCCGCATGGCCTATCATGTGCTGCGAAAATCCGGTCGTGCTAGCAATACATGGTGGGGATTCTGTTAGGCTGTTCATGAGAGACTGTATTGAAGCATATGAATTCAAGATCCTCACCGTAAGACAAAAGTGCAATACATGTATCCATGTATCATGCACCACATCGATAGGTTGTACGTAATACGAAATTGTAATCCAACTCTACACAGAAGGGGGACAAAGCATCCAATAGATGGGACCATTAACTGCCGTCAAATCCGTAGAGAATGTAGTAACCAGAGTTAATCTTTTCCGAATCGACTGAATATATTATAGCGAAAGCTGTCAAGATTCAGACCTACATCTAGTGGTATGAAGAACATTAGCTCTGGAGTATTCAACATTCCACATTTCATCGGGTCCATGCAGACGTAAGCATCAGAGTCAAATCTTGAGCTATACATATGACACGTAAGCATGGAGCAATTTGAACCGAGCTAGACAGTGATCATAGGGGTTTTGTGGTGTCACACACAACAGATTGGTAGCCGGCCTCCAGCAGAAATGCAACAAACTGTCCATTTTGAAGAAGGGCTTATGGAGACAAATCCTCACATGTTTATCGGCTTAGATAACTATAATTTGTCTTTAATGCATAAACAGTGGTGCATTATATGCCAGTCTCAAAGCTGATACGGCGAAAGGAGAGGCATGTATGGTTGTGAATGCACTCTGTTTAACAGAGTGTAGGTGAGAAGATAAACCATAAAGCTATATCTACCCCCAAGTTCCTTTATCCGTACGTTTACTTAGTTGATAAGCAACCCTTTCTCACGATCAGGTTTTTTTGTCTTCGTTTCCAAGCCTTTCTAGGTCGCGGACTTTCAGGTCATATTGCGACATAATTTCTTTCATGAAGCCTTGCCTTGTGCCTCTGTTCCCCGTTGGTTTACATCAGTTCACATGGCCAGTTCAAAAACCGGCAGCGTCTTGTCTAAGAAACGGGACCGCAACGATGCTACTGTCTCCTCCACAATCAGCGATAATTTAACCCAAGATGGACGCAAAAGACGGAAAAAACGCAAGCTCAGCAGCTTTGGGGCTACTTCTGATAGTAAAGTTTTGAGCGCCCCCGATCAGGACAAGAAGTCGCTCGGCCCATTCACCAGTTCCGGAGATTCTTGTAAGTTACTATAGTGTCACTTTTTACTGAGTCGTCTTGAGTTTGAATGTATAAATACAAATTTCTTTGTATTGCCACTGATAGTTGAACTTTGCAGCGACAAAAACTACAACTCGCGAAGGAGACAGCTATGAACAGGCCGCCTTACGCCTGGAAAAGATGCAAGGTGCTGTGCGAACTTTGTTAGAATGCATTGGCGAGGATCCCGGTCGTGAAGGCCTCCTGAATACCCCTTCGCGTTATGCCAAGGCATTGCTGTTCCTGACCAAAGGCTACCATACCAATGCGGAAGATGTCTTGAATAACGCGCTATTTCATGAAGTCAATAATGAGATGGTCATCGTGAAAGATATTGACATATGTAGCCTTTGTGAGCACCATCTCGTGCCCTTTATAGGAAAGGAAAGCTCCCTTTTCCCCGGCAACATCTTTTACACTGGACTCTGGGATATGCCGGCTAATTCTTTTTTCTAGATGCACATTGGTTATATACCCTCCAATACCGTTATTGGCCTCTCAAGGCTTCCTCGAGTCGCCGAGGTATTCTCTCGTCGCTTACAGATTCAGGAGCGCCTGACGAACGAGGTCGCTCATGCCATTATGGCCATCCTTAAGCCTCAAGGTGTTGCAGTCGTCATGGAGTCTAGCCACTTGTGCATGGTGATGCGTGGCGTTGAGAAGACCAGTGCCACAACTCTGACAAGCTGCATGTTGGGATGTTTTAAGCGGAAGAGTAAGACGCGACATGAGTTTATGCATTATGTCGGGGTGGACAGATAAGATAAAGGATATCGGACTACGGATTTTACCGATGACAGGATGGGATGCTACGGTTGATAGGCTAGTTGCAAAACTACCAAGAAAGAGGTTTTTATATACCCTACTGTACCGATTACCACTAGTAATGGTGTGAAGGAGGACTTGCGATAGCTGCTCTACAGGCCCTAGCAAGTAGTCTGAAGTTCAGAGATTCAGAGCTTACAAATTAAAACAAAATTATTAAGAGATATAGACCCGAGAAGAACTTTTTACCTCACTAGTGAAAACCCGAGTTACATAAAATATATTCTTGACTGACTCTCTTGTGAAACCCCAGAAACAAGCGCTAAAAGTAAGAATGAATTTTAGTTCGGGTTATTTCTTGCCATGAGGTAGATGTTACGCCAGAATATGTGAATGCGATAATGCAGCTTCTTCGATGTAAAATTCCCTTAGCATTGGTACAGGAGGCCTACCACCTTGGAAAAGGTAAAAGTTAGGACACATAAGCGTCATAAGAAAATGAGGGGTAAACATGTTAGCTCACCTTCAAGTGGGTTCATATCAATGGCAATTGGCCGGGTTCACATTTCCTCTAGGTATGACTCAAATGACCCCCACTCTGTGTTGGTTGAGCTTTACATGGCAATGAGACATGCTGAAATTGTAACAAATGAGACTAATCAATAGCCAAATTGTGGTGTAGTCCTACAGAAATGAGGCCAGCCGCAAGCAGGGCATGAATCACCTACCACAGTCGCAATAGGTAGAGAGTCGACATCATGTTGGTCATGCTACATCAGACTTGTCATTGCAAAGAATAAATGATCACATAAAGGTTCCAAGTCATTTGAGCTATGCTTGTACTGATGGAAGTGTGTGATATGCCTGTAAATGATTCCAAAATTCCGAGTACTAACCTATTCCGTTACACATACTGAGCCTCTTAAGTCGTGAAATGTTTATAGCCTGAGTTTAGAATCGTCGCAAGAGGTCTTCTTTTACCTAAGATACGGTGAAGCTTTCAGACATGGCCGTCCTTCAAGAAAACATTGACCCTAATGGAGACACCTTGATCATCTTCTCCTACTTGGCTGTGCCTACCCAGAGCGCGGATGAGCCAGTGCCTGCCGAAGAGCAAGCTGCAACTGCTGAGCTACTAGCTGTTGAAGAACCAGCTGCTGTCTATGAGCGAGACCATATAGACGGCCATTCCACAATCTCCAGCATCGATAGGACTACCCACTGTCACGAAGGTTTGGGAGAACGCCGCCCAGAAAGGCTTTTTCACTAGTAGAGAACTGACTTATTTTCCTACTGATTTAGGAGATGAATCGGTATCCGAACTGAGATTAAAGGTGTCCAAGAAACACCTTACAGTTGCATCACGACGTGCCAGAGCGATGTTCCAAAGCGACTATCGTGAGACTCGGAAGACGGAAGTTGATGGCCTTTACCACTGGGAAATCGGGCCCCTGTTTGATCCTGAAGCTTTCAGGATTGTCATGCAGGTCATCCACGTGCAAGCTCAGGATTTGCCAGATGAGGTCACGCTTCAGATGATAGTCTCAATAGCTGAGATTGTGGATGACCTTCAATGCCATGACGCTCTATCATTCTTTGTCAAGGTGTGGATCAATCGGTTATCTGAGTCAGTTCCCAGTCATATGTGTGATGAGCTGGTTCAATGGATCTTCGTTGCATCGGTATTCGGCTTGGATGAGAAGTTTAAGCAGGCAACAAGAGTGGCAATTATGTGCAGTACCGGGCCTATAGATCTATTAGGGCTTCCTATGCGTCCAGATATTGTCGGTATGTTCACAACCATTTCGTAAGTAAAATGCTTACCAGAGTAGATAAAATTGAGCAAAGGAGACAGGATCTTCTCGAAGATTTGATCGCACAGTTGAACGCCGTGTTGGACAATTTATGCTTAGACCGATCTTGTCGGGTCCTTGCATGCAGGCTCATGATGCTTGGAGCATTGACTCACCAAATGAAGAATACTAACTTGCACTCACCTCGAACTGTAAGGCCTTTCCGCAACCAGAGTCTGTCCTCAGCACTTGAAGCGGTGCGACACTTTGACTCGCCTTCTCTCTATCTCCCATCAGAGGATATTTCTCACTATCCATTTGATCACTTTGATTCCTCCTTTCAAGGGTCTAAAGAGGATGTTTGGGTGTTGCAGAAAGACGCTCCTTCATCATCACGCCGCAAAAAGAAGGACAGAGGACTGTTTGATGAGGAAGACGACGACGAAGAACTAAACAAAACTCCTAGACGACTAAAGTTTCACTGCTGTCGCTTACAGGCTTACCTAAAACCTGTAATAGATCTCTTGGAAGCTAAAGTCTTCACCCTAGATATAGGTGGATTTTAAGTAGGCTCAGGGTTTGGCTTGCGGACAGTAAATCGATTTATTATATCGCTGAGGTAAGTAAAAAAGATAAGAAGGTGAACTATTTTAAATAAATAATAGCTATATTGCATTTTTAAATGTAAATCAGATGCATAACGAATTCTAACTATTTAACGTTGTAAAAGATACTAATTGTTACTTAATATTTAAGATTGTATTTTTAATAGACTTTATAAATTAATTTAAAGAATACATAAAAGTTAACTATATTTAATAATAATTAAAGTAATTATATTACTTCCTAATTTAAGAACTATTTAATATTATAAACTATTTACTATATAGGTTAAGGAAACCTACTAAATAAAGCTTTAATATATATTTATAGAAGCTAGTCTAGTGTCTATATAAGATATCTTTAAATTCATAAGTAGTAAAATATTTCCCATGTCCTTTAAGTAAATCTGTTCCGAGATGCCTCTCTAATTGTCTTTCATGAAATAGGCTGCCTTAGGATCAATAACTCATCAGAACTTAAAGAGGCCTATCCTGAATCAGACACAGCTTCAGTTGAGATTTTGAAGCGCTGTTAGCTGAGTTGAAAGCCAGAAATACTTGCCGACGGAAACTCTCTACGTAGCAAGGTCGTAGCCTATGATCAAGCCGCTCAGTGAGGTCGACATCTCGCGGATGCGCATCAAACAGAATCATTCAGGTCCAGTATATTGCTAGGATGTGCCAACCCACTAGTCCACCAATCTGAAGCGATACTTCCAGATGTTGTAAGCGATGGACCTGCTGTTGAATCCAGATTCTTTCGTCGACGAATTCCCAGCCTTGTCTCAAGATCGCGAGCAGTAGTATCCTCCAAATGTCTGCTGAGCTCCCAAAGTAACGTTTTATGGCGTTTTCGTACATCAGATATGAAGCACGGAGCAGGGTTCCACGACGGATACAGCTTCTGATGACTTGCTGAGGCGCTCATTTGCAGTGGGTGGCGGGACATAAATCGATGACACAAGAAGCAAGTCTTCTTACTCGTTCCCATAAAAGCAAGTCGGGGCGTTAGTTCAGGATGGTGGTCATAGAAACTGAGCATCTGCATCTCTGCATGTACTGTCAATGTCAGGCGGCAAGCCTGACGAAACCGCAGCTCAGGGTCCCCGGTGAGCCAGATTTGACCCAGTTGAGACATGAGCTTATCGTGGTCTACATCAGTCAGCTTCTGAAGTACTGTCTTCAATGCTGCTAAGTCGTTTCCTAGGGTGAAATATTCTTGATCTGGGGCATTAATCACTTCGATGTGAATTGACGTGAAAAGGAACGGCTGCTTGACCGCTAATTTGATCATCGCCTTTGCTGCTGCAAAGTATCGGCCAAGCTTGTATACCTGAAAGACCCAGTCCGGCAATTCTTCTTCACCTGGGCAAAATAACGCTTCAAGATGCTCAGAGTAGACCCATTTCGCCCGTGATGCCCACTTAATGTGGGGAACCAATGCGGCAGATACAGCGTTGGGTTCAAGAGACATCAGGACCGGAAGATGTTCCATCCAGGTCGCGAAGCCGGCCTTTTCGGGGTCGGAGACAGTGTCTTTTCTCAGGTTGTCGACCACTTCCTCAATGTACTGTTGAGTTTTTGGATCACGAAGCCTTTGCAAGATGCTTTCTATTCTCAGACGTGTAAGATCAACAATCTTGAGTAGGAGTTGATATTCTTTTTGCTGAATTGGCAGTTCTGTGCCATTGCGTGTCAGTAATCCTGTACATGTTTAGATGGTGAGCTTTGTTACATACCTGTAGAAGAAGCAGAAGTAAGGTCATCCAATACATCATTTAGACGCTGAAGTAGTTGTTGAGGGACACCAAGGTTCCGAGCAAGTCGCAAGACGGTTCCTGTAGGATGCCCTTGCTCCATACACACAGCTGAAGCTGTCTCGCCGCTTTTGGCAGAAGTTGAACAGATTAGAGCGAATGAGTCTAGGAATTTCTTATGAAGACTTTCCATTTTTCGCGCATTTTCATGGGGGTGCATGTCCAGGCTATGTACTGTCGGTTCACCTCGGACCGGGTCAATTAGGGAAAGCAGGGTTGCTACTTTAACAAAGCGCTTATGGGTTTCGCCAGTTATGGCACCGTTTTTTGACATTATGCTCATATTAATCGAGAGTGAAGCGTCTTGAACAACGTTATGGCTGCAGATGCAGATGGGTACTACGAGCTAAGTACTAAAATCATGTTGGAGGCTGGGGACAATTACGGGGCATTATTGAGGAGCTAGCCATGTCATCATCAATGTGGCAGGGGTCTACGTGCCCGGCCTCCAGCATGTACCTTTGTATTGTTTGGACCTCTGTTCGCAAGGTCCCCCGCTCACATCAACATCTGTCCTCATGGCCGTCCTCCAACATTAACGGTTACAAATGGAAGGTTTTTGATCATCGTTATATCGAGAATAGATACTCCTGGTTCCTGGTGGCTTTCCATTCCCAAGTCAAAACTCGTGAAAGGTATGTCTTTCTGTACTGATCACCCATTTCGACATGGTGCCCAAAATCCGCCCTTGAGCGGAGATGATGCACCCACACAGGATCAAGGGCAATACAAAGAACCACAGTGCCCAGATTCTGTGGCACTCCATGCAAGCGTTCCTATACCTGATTATGCAAATGCAACCTCTGATCAGGACCACGGCGCGATCGATCCAAGTCTGTTGATGCAGGCTGCGACGCCAGAGCAGCAACGGCTTCAGCTGCTTGCACCATCCCATGACGCATGAGCAATTGGCGATTTGCAATCGAACAACCAGCGACCTACAGTCACTGCTGAAGATACGATGCAAAAGGTGTTTGAGCCCTCTGGCGATGCAATAGTCCCACAATCCAGCATTTCCGCAAATCAGTCTGGGCCGGCGAGTCCCTCTCCAATCGATGCACAGCATTTCTCCGACAAGTCAACAGATCTGATCGAAAGAAAACCACGACTCGTTTGTAATTGGAAAGATTGCAAACATAAAGCTGCCGACAAAGAAGAACACGAGTAAGTGGTCATTCTTTACCATCATCTGGAACAAGCTTCTTTCTTGGCATTATTGGACACATGCTGATGGATAGCATTCTTTGTTTTCAGCCAGCATATGGCACAACACAGGTCATGCCCCAAGAGTGACTGTTCTTGGGGAGACGCTATTGAGGAAAAGCAGGTTAGGCGCCATGTATGGAACAACCATAGGCCGTGGGCTGAGCAAACCAATTACCATCCTATAGACGGAACATGCCCAGAATGCGACAAGGTATACACAAGACAGGATAATTTGAAACGTCATAGGGACGAGTGTCACCAGGGTAAAAAAAGAAAGAAGAGAGAAGTAGATTAGTTATCGGGTTATAATCAGTGTTGCTTTTCTGGTTTTTGATTCTTGGAAGGACTTGTGAACAGGTAGTTTCTTGAATAGAAGAAGAGGAGAACGATTAGATTTAATTTTCCTACCCTGCCTTACTCCGGTTCTTCTTTACCTTTGTCCCTTAGCCGTCTAGAGCTGTCTGTTACATAATAGTTTCCGAAAACTCGTAGGCTGAGGCAAAGTGCTGTAGCAAGATACAGTGGTCTGCTGAAGAGGGCCACAGGAAGCTGTATGATCCGGTGGCCGCACAGCTATCGCCATCAGTCGTGGCTATTCACATTACCCCTAGTCCCATAAAAGATACCATATGCCGCTTAAATGAAACTGAAGAGCTAGTTGCAGGTGTTCATAATGAAGTCGCGGGTGTGCATAATAAGGAAGGACGGCCGTGTAAAGGATTTTTTTAATAGAAAGCAGCTCGATAGTGGCGTTAGTAAAGAAGCCTAAAAGGGTAGGTACCTAATACAGTAATTTCATCCAGTTTTTAAATGCTAAGATACTATAATATGGAAATTGATACAGTGGCATGATCTCAGCTCTGAATCAGGCGTATTAACTCCTGGCCCGTAGACGCGTTCACATGTCGTGGCCTTATATCTTTCATAGCTTCCATAATGCCTCTCTCTGTAATAGGACGATGTATAGGCCTTTGTAAAATGAGATGGATAAGTTGCATAGCTTATAAGAGGCTTAAGATGGCCTTCTAGAGATATTCCAGATGAACGAAGGAAAGGGATTGGAGGGATTAAGGGTTTGGCCCGAGCCGGTCTGGCCCGGCTTAAGTCTCTTATCAGGCCCTATTTCACGGTTCACGATGTGGTTACTTCATCTTCAAGGCCCAGAAGGTTCATGAGGACAAGGAAGAATGCCCATCTGGATTCGATGCAAGGGTTGTTTTCGGCTTCGTTGCGGCGCTGTCGGAGTCTGGCTGCAACCACAGCAGCTACAAAGCCGTTTGGACTAAGCGCCAGACAAGGCGGTTTAGTCAAACAAGTAGGAGTAAGAAAGGTAATGAGTTCGATTAATGGGATGTGCCACCTGGTAACTATTAATTATGACAGGACAAGGTGTCAAGAGTCCAGATAAGCAGCCAGCCCATGCTGTTTCTGAACTATATGCTTAATTCTTTGCAACTAGAGCGACTCACCCCGATAAAGGCGGTTCAATAACGAAGCGGTAGGTTTAAAATTGCAGGTTTGTTGTGGGCGGCTAGACCAGGTATGATCAGTAATCAGACGTGAACATAAAGACTGGGTGGTGAAAGTAAAGCGTCATGTCTACATTTACTCTTTAAATGTTTAAATACTATATAATATATGATAGCGTAGCTATAATAACTATAAATATAAACTCCTAATGGTATAAACCTTTCCTATTTTAGGAGTTACAATTCCGTTATTAACCTAAAATCTCTATAGCTTGTGCTAAATCCTGAAGCGCCGTCTGTAGGGTTTGACGCCTTTCCTGAGTCACACGTGACTCACTCGCAATCAGTTGTAGCTTCTCATCACTCAAGTCTAGCACCCACTGCTCAGAAAATAGAATGAGGGGACTTGATGGGCCTGAAAGCAAGCAGTGATCAACTGCCTGGTGATAGATGTTATCGACGAAGCGCTTGCGTGCCACTTTATAATAAGCCTGGAGAATGTCGTGTATCTCTTCCGCTGTATGCTGGGTATTGCTATGGTTGTTTACGACTGATGAAATATCATCAAGCTTGATAACTTGCTGCCCAGTATTTTGATCTTTCCACGCCTTTTTTCTCAGAGCTTGATTAATTCGATCGTTCCGTGCTTTCTGTAAGTTCTCGTTGAAATAGTGGTTAAGCGTGTAGGGCTTTTTGTGTCTCTCAATGTGAACCAAGTGAATAGCCTGGTTCATGCTATCCTGATATCTGATAAGGAGATCAGCCATCAAGCCAGATATGAGCTCGTCGAGGATACGAGTTTCATAACAGACTTTACGGAGGGCTCCCAGTATGAACTTGTGGACGGACAAGACGACTCTACTCAAGTACTCTGTTGCCATCTTCTGCCAGTAGATAGACTGTTCTTGAAAGGCACTGGACAGGATTCGTGGCCCAAAGGTACCTAGTTCGACACCTCGAGAACGTCGATGCATTTGAATGATCCAAGGCATGATTCCTGTCGATGGTTGATGTGAGATACAGTCTCTTGTTAGAATACCCTCTAGATCAGGATATAAGTTAAGATCAAAGCGCGTAGATGACTCCTCATCATCTTCTTCTTCCTCATTTTCAGAATCAGAAAAGGCTGTAGAAATTCTACGGGTCCGATCTTTTTCTTCAAAGCTGTAAGTGTGCGCACAAGCTTCGAAGTCGACAGCAAATTCATCTGTCGTGTTAATAACCTCCGTGATGAGACGTAAGTTATCATCCTCGAATGCTTGATTCGTTGAGTAGTCAGCATCCAATGCTGCTCTCACAATGTTCTGGAACTTGCTCGCAACGCTAACTAGAAACTGCTGCTGTTGTCGTCCAGTCTGGCGTGGAGGCCCAAGACTCGCCAGCTCTTCTTGCTTCTCAGTGAGCTTGCGACGCGTCTCGGATCGGAGTTTAGGGAATGCCTTGTCAGCGATCTGACCAAGAAGCTCTTGTAGGCACACTCGCAGGGGATTTATCCCAGTCTTGTGATCTGGCAGAGCGGTCCAAGGCTCATCTTTGAACATGTCTTCACGGCGCAGCAAATCGGTATCCCCATCAGAATCTTCGTCGTCGCCGCCACGGCTCCTAACGACATGATAACCGAGGGTGAGAGGTCGTCGCTTATTCAGGACCAGGTCGCAGACGACGGCTTTCGAACTTCGTTCTTTGAGAAGATCAGGCTTCGTTAGAATACCCAGTGTACGCTCGCCAGTTGGGTCGACCTCTTCAGCAAATGCCAGAATTTCCTGAGTGGCAATATCGACATTACATGGTAGAACAGCCAAGATTACTGTGCGACTATCGCGAATGTAATTCTTGACCATCCTTTCGACTAACTGACGGTCTTTATCTGTAGTGACTCCTTGGGTAGTGATACGAAAGATTCCAGGAACATCAATGACTGTCAGGTAATCTTCGTCTGGTCCACATCTCTCAATTTTCAACACGTCTTCAGTAAACGTCTTAATACCACCTGGGTTTCTGGGCGTTTTGATCCCCATAAGTGTGTTCACCTGTTACCCGAGAGTCAGCATCGGATTTCCAAGATAGCTGACGCTGTCTGTACCTCATGCAAAATGTCTGGGAACTCAGTGTTGAGCTGCTCAGTCGAGTCCACTTCCTTGATAAAACTCTCGAGTTTCTCTTTGTGCTCGACTGGGGCATTTGCTCCTGGAATGATACTGATAGTAATACGAGATATGATATCGCGGCGGTGAGTGATCTGAGTTGCATAACGAGTGCAAAGCTCTTGGCCACGCGGAAATGGTACTCCAGTCAAATTTTCTAGAAGGGATGACTTCCCAGAGCTTTGATCTCCCACGGCAACCAATTGGGGTAGGGCAAGGTAAGTAGCAATGTTTCTCTCGCGAAGCTGGTCAATCTTGCGCAGTCGGTCTGGGCTGGTGAGCATAGATTGACTCATAGTGAATTCTTGGTAGATTAAGACTGTTGAGTAAAGGACGGGGTTGTTGAGCACAGACTAAGATTTCGAGGACAAAAAGTCTGGGGACGGTCAAAATCCTTTAATTTTGTTGGCCGGAGGCTCTCTTCAATACGCTCGCTGTCAGACTTAGCTCCGCTCCTCGCCCCCAACCATCTGGACGTCTTTCGCGAGCGCATAGACCCCTCGGTGGGCCTCCAACTTACATCAACATTGACGATGACGAAGACAAAGCCAAGGGACCAATTATTCGCAGGAGGACAACGCATAAATAACTCGTCGGAAAATCGCTAGAGAGACCTGCAGAAAAGCAAACAGGCTTCTCAAAAGGAGGCGGCCAATTGAGTGCGATTGCTCAAAGTGAGAGATAACAGTAGCCCAATCAGACTTACCACGATGGGGTAATTGTCACAGGTGTTGGTGACAACATGTACTGCATTAGTCCTAGTAGGCTAGTTGCCTCTTCTCTCATGCGGGAGGCCTGCCATTACATATTTTCTGGCGGCCTTTGATGCCCAACGTTTCCGGTCTCCCATTTCCTTCTGCGAGATCTCACAATCTTTGGGCAAAGTACCTATATTGTTACAGCCCAAATAAAGGCGATGGCTACTAAGGAAATTCCCCTGCTAGATGGCCCTCTTTTCCCACCCCAAATGAACGCTGTCATCGAGCGCTGTCTATTTTGGTGTCAAAGCTATCGTATTGTCTCTCTACCAAATGGTTAGGCCAGTCAATAAGGGTGGGAGCTTGGAGAGCGACTCCTGCGGGACTGCATGATCGGGTTACGAATTCACCACAACGCGGAACAAGGGTCTGCTTCTTCAGTATCCTTGTGGCTCGCATGATTGCTACCACTCACAATTGTAAAGGTAGGAAGCTTCCGATATGCTGTTTTTCTCTGTCAGAGAGATGTTTAGCTTGAATGATCACATGTTTAAAATTCGTAAGCTCTAGTACCTGATGCTCCATCTCAACAAGCTTAAAGGGCCATCCTTGACCTTTCCCTGGGCGTTCTTGTGGCCATCAAAGATCGGAATCCCCTCCCTCAGGTACCCGACAAAGCCTGTGGTGTTGCAAAGTCGTTCGCATAAACTCTTGCAGCAACCTGAACCCTCGAGAGAAATTCGGAGTTTTATATAAGAGGCTCAGATATACTTGGCGGGTCGTTGGGTATCATTGACCAACAACTGGGTCTTTGATAAGTAACTGCCAATTGCTCCTTCTGGTGCTGGGTAACTGGGGCCTGTCAGATCAACAGCCTAAGTCTCTGCCCTAGTGTCCTTTCCAACCCCAGTGATAGTAGTAGAACTGAGTGTTAATGATCTTATAAGAATGAAACTTAGCATTTGACTACTTTCAACTGTAAGGCTAAAGGAGAAATATACATTGCCTTGAGTTATTCGAACCCCATAATCATGGCATGAACTGAAGGAATGTCTTTCAGTTGAGTAGAAGACAGAACAAAGTTTTTATATCGATGATCGCTTCTGTCAAGCTGTCATTGCGTTCTCCTTCAGGCAGGACACAGATGCAGTCGCCAGTAGTCATAGCCATCATGAGTGTATGGACAGAAGCACTCAACATGTCAGAGGAAAAGTTCAGGTCCTAGTCTCTGTCGAGAAGCCAAAATGGCTTGCCTGTTGTATAACGAGTTGGACCCGATTTAGAAAAGAAACACATAAAAGAAGAATTCCATAGAGACAGGGATTCACATACTGAGTAATTTCTATACTAGAATAATTTCTTGCCTGTTCCTGTGTTTCCTTTTTTTTAAATTTAGCTTGTATATATATCCATGGCCAACTAAAGTAAACGCAGTACTGATATCTGCAGAAGATCCTGGTAGACATCTAGCCTTTAGCATATTGAGTTTCGAGCGTAATTTAGCCGTCATATGTTGACTGACGGTATTGTCTTCAGTTGAATGGTTTCGAAGAATAAAAGGCAATGAGTAGCTACCGAAGATTGCAACGCGATCACCGGTCTTGGTACCTCCTGGGACAAGGCCAAACTTCCCTCGGGCTGTAATGCACCATCGGCGCCCAGGCGCAAGTGCCATACCATGAACCAAGAAATGGCGCATATGCGGTAGCCACGGCGATTCATCAGGGTTCCCTCCATTTATAAGGAACGTCCCATGCCCAAATACTGCAGTAAAGCCTTGGCGGAGGCTTTCTACTTCGGCGGCTGGCTTGGCACTTAGGGAGCCACAGCTGAGGGTATGGAGCATGATTTCCACTGCCTGCTCCCCTTCGACGTTCTGCTTCATCAAGAGGTTGCCGCCCTCCCATAGGAGGGTAGCTATTTCAGAGAATGTTCCCCATGTAAGGTTGCTAGACATCGGTGTGCTTAGGCACTTAATGGTGTCAAGTATGTGGCCCGTGATTACCAGTTCCGAACCAGACAACCGTATCTCAAGCGCCTTTTTCTCATCAAGACCGCTAGATAGAGCAGGTAATTCGTCCTGCAGAGATGAATCGTCTGTATCACGCGACCAATCCTGAGAAGATATTAGCAAATCTGTCTCCGTATTTCCAGTTGTAGGTGTACTTACAGGTACCCAGGAAGGAATATTCAAGGTTTTTGAAACTCTGCTATCAACTTGATAGAGCATTGATATTCCCTGACCTCGTTCAATGAAGAATTTGGCAAAATCCTGGTAAACGTCTTCTACACTTCGTGAATATGTCACAAGATGAAGGAAATCTGAACCATCGGATGCCATGCCAAGAAGTCCGAAGATTTTGTCACGCAGATTAGTTGCCTGTTTGCGACGGGCAAGATTCAACATGTGAACCAGAGGAACTTGTTTGGTCAGATGGCCGTCTGCCCCACGTATTTGGTTTCGCTGGTTGATTAGCCCGATTACTGCCCAAATAGCGGGTGGTGTGCTTATAGACGAACTAAATTCATCTTTTGGCACAGAGTACAGAGCTGCGTTAGTGCTATACTTTCTCAAGTATCGTAGACATTGGCCAACCATTTCAATCTCGATGCCGACATTCGAATACCATAGAGTGATCGAGGTTGCCAGTGAGGCCTCTTGGACGATCCAAAGGCGCTGAAAATATATCGAGTTGAGGAATTGCCGCCAATGTTTCCATACCTCGTCATCTTCTCTAGGAATGCCATGATCCTCGAGGACTTTGGTTGACGGACTTGGCAACCTGACTTCGCGAATATTTCCCGTCTTCCCCGCTTGGAAATTTCCAAATTCTGACTCCAAGGCGGACATAATGTTGGTTTTGGCGTCAGAGTTTGTTTGCCCCTCTTCCTGACAAGTTTCTTTCGAGGGAGAGAGCTGGAATTGGCAACGGTCACCCGCTCTGATTATCTTTTGCATGAGATGTAGCAGCTCAATGCCTCCAGTCGCTTCTTTCCGTCCAAGGTCTCCATGTACATGATCCGCCTTTTGATAGATGCGAGCCATGAGCTTTACCTGAGCCTCTCGCTCAGCGACATCATTCTGGTTGATGCAGATTGCATCAACCCAAAGAAAGCGACGTTCTGAAAGCAGATGTTGCTTTATCACATCCAGAGCCTCGTCATCAAAGTCTTCTGGAGTAGTAGCGCCAGTCCTTAAAATACTGATTCGTTGTCGTAACCGTAGTAGAGCAGTATAAAGGTTTTCTCCGACATGAAAAGGTTTGCCGTCAATAAAGATCTCATGCGGGTTTTTCTGGTCGCCCCATACATAGGATAGCGCTGTGTATCCTTGGAAAAGATGCAAAATAGTGCGACTAGCTGATTTCATCAAAAGACCCGGAATTTCGAGGTCTGAGTTGCACCTCTCTTGTTGCAGACGTGATCTCTGTGTCAAGGTTGGTTCTCCACCTGAACCAGGCAGAAGATGGCAAGGTCCATCAGATACTTTCCAATCGTGGTCCAGATTAATGACCAGCTGGAAGCAGCGGATGGGATCATTGCTCTTTCCTGGGGTAAGTAAGATGACTCGGGTTTGCGTCGGAGCCGTGAGAGGGAGATACTGGAAATCTTTATTTAAACTCATAGTGTCATTTGCATTTGAGGCTTGTGGCTCGGAGCTTGTATTACCGAAGATATCTGAGTGATAACTATACAATAAGAATATGAATTTTCACATGAGAGCATGAGTTTGCTGGAGTTGAAGATTGGCCCTCTTTTAGGCAACACTGCTGTGCCGCTGACTGTTAATCGCGCTGTTACAACCCCCGCATTTACATCATGTGGCTCCTGCAATTTCCACCAATTACACCAGGATCATATCTGATAAAATACAAGACTGGCAGGTTCGCTGTCCCGTGACTCAAGACTGATCCTTGTGGGGTCTGGATGCGACATTCGCTTAGGGATTTTCTTGTCTCGCTGATCCAACAAGACAGTGTTTCAACCTGATCGGATAGGTAAAAGCTTATATCGGGAAAGAAAAAAAATATCGTGTTGTCATTCATTATCTGTGTTCGCAGCCTAAAGCTTAACCTTATAGGCAGCATTCATCCCCATCGTCAACCTGATCGGAAATAGCGCCACCTGGAAGTAAAATGCGTCTACTATCAGCCAAAGGTCTCTTTTTCAAGGAGTTCCCTGGCGACAAGATCCCGAAGTATGCAATACTTTCTCATCGATGGGAAGGTGAGGAACCGTCTTACTCGGATATGAAAACCAGGGTGACACACAGAGATGCCGATGTTTTGGGTGCAGGACCACTGTGGACTGAGCGGAATTACCGCAAGATCTATCAATTTGGTCTTATGGCTTCGCAAGCCGGGTATGAATACATCTGGGTCGATACTTGCTGCATCGACAAGTCAAGCAGCACTGAACTTCAAGAGTCTATTAACTCGATGTGCCGATGGTATATGGAATCAGGCGTTTGTTATGCATATCTTTCAGATGTGACTATATCTGCCGATGTTGTGACACACAAGACAGGATCAGCAGGATCGAAACCGTGGACGGAATCGTTCCAGAACTCTCAATGGTTCACTCGGGGCTGGACGTTACAGGAGCTTCTAGCTCCCAGGGAGTTGATATTCTACGATAAGAATTGGCACATGTGTGGGAATCGTGTCGAACTACAAGATGCCATTCAAGCGGCCACTGGCATAGATGGAACCAGTCTCATTAAAGCCTCCTACGAGGAGGGGGCATACTTAAGATCGCTTCGATCGGGAAGACTTTTTACCTGGGCCGCAAGTCGACAGACTACTCGATGCGAGGATAGAGCCTATTCGCTCTTGGGAATGTTTAATGTTAACATGCCATTGCTATATGGCGAGAAAGATCGGGCATTCTATCGTCTACAAGAGGAAGTCATCAAGGTCAACGAAGATGTATCCTTACTCGCATGAAATTGCACAGAAGCTGACGATGGATTTGCGCCAAATGGGCTGGCCAAATCCCCCTCGCAATTCCGGAACTATCAGAATCTGATAGCACGAGACAGCGTTCGAGTTCCCTATGTTGCGTTCAGTCCCACAATGACAGCACGAGGGTTACAAGCTACACTAAAAATCAGAAGGGATCCATACGAGAAGGGGCTTGGATATGCTGTCTTGGTGCATGAAATGAACCGGAGATCTCTGGTTCTTCCTCTTCTGTTCTGTTCGATGACATTTGTGAGAACTCCAATACAGAACGAGTGCGTTAGATTCTCAGACCCCATTTACGTTCCATCACGATTTGTGAACGAAGCCAAACCAGAACCCACCTGCTTCATTCGTCATACAGAAGCTGCCCACCTCTACGAACCCGGTGATGGTCTCAGTCTCGGTTTAGCAGTCTGGAATAATTACACCACTACCTTCACCTATCCTGTTCAGGCGCAAGCTGGGCGTCGACATTTTCCTGCGCTGTTAGGAAGATTTCCCAAGACTCCAAAACAAAATGGCAACGACTATAGCTTTATTGTGGAACTAGCCGCTCGAACTGATCCGAAGCGGAGATATGTTATCATTGTGGAATACTGGGCAAGTGGCACAACCATTACAAATATAACTACAACAGTCAAGAAACTTCGGTGGCCTATCAATCTAGTATATGCTATGAAGCTTTTGCAGCGCAGACAAGTTAAGCTGGACTTTAAGTCACACAAGCTCCCGGACGCGTATGGCAACACTATTCCGAGAAGAGAAATTATTTATATCTCGTATTTTACCCGTTTATGGGTGAGTGAATCTGAAAATAACTTGGACAGGGCGACTGTACGAACACGACAAGACCTCGAAGTTAGAACGATTGGCGTGACAACCAGGTCTTTCGCGAAGTAATCAAAGAAGTTCTGAGGCTTTCTGTTGATTATTGTCAAGGTGGTGTGCAGCCAGTGTTACGATAATGTGGCCGGGGGGCTCTTATCCGGGATGATCAAAGCTTCAGGCATTGACGGGTCATCTGACAGGTCACAGGTTGGAGTTTTCCATAGGTATAAGATGGAAGTTTCATGTTAGCCTGGTTAGCTCGGCAGTCGAATAGAGAAGTCGGCAAGTTAATGGTGAATCAGAACCAAGCCCAAGGCTCGCGGGGTACTCAATATGAACACCTTTTGTCCTCCGTAGCGGGCGTTATGGGTTCGCCCTGTTGAATGGACTATGCTACAGGAGATGAATTTAATAGCAAGCCAGAAAAATAAAAGTGTGCCTCCCTCGGCATTGACGATTCCCGAGTAGGATACTCAAACACTTAGGACAGAGGAGCCAATCAACAACGATTCGTAGTGCACGTTAATATCATAGGAACGTAGCTTTGAAGCAGAAGGTCCGTAAAGATCCGGAGATGACAGAATCAGCAGGTGGATGCAAACGATCCGTGCCCATATGCCATTGCCATTTGGCGTATGAGCATTGGCGATTTCATCACGGTAGCCTTTGCTTTTTACCTCAGTCAATAAGTAAGGTCATCATGATCCTGGTGTACCGTAAGCCACAGCTGAAGTAGTGGTGCTTCTGCCTGTAGCTTATGGAGTGCACCTGAGACACAGTGACATACAAATTCTCACGGCGCTGATCCCCCAGCTCTCCGCCCTCAGCTGTCAAGGCGGCAGCCAAAGGACCAGTCTTCAACCGATACCGACAAGTGCCGACTTCCGAAACAACCAAAGATTTAGGTGCTGGTTTAATTGGATTTCTGTGAGGGGCCTATCCCAGAAGTATGCACGGCGATTATCTGCAGGGCGGTGATAACTGGATAACCTGTCAAGACAGGATGGAAAAGAAGTTAAGTAGGGCCGACTCGAGCCGCGTCCTAGTGAAACGGCTCATAGGGAATATTTATTTCAGCCGATTACTTGCCGCTGCCGTCCTATTCTAGCCGTGCTAACGTGTTGTTTGATTGGAGGAATTAGAGAAAGTTGGAGTGAAACACGGCTTGGGAGAAACATGGCTCAAGAGAAATACAGGCTATGTGTTAACTACCTAGCTAAAAGGCTTTCCAGGGCAATTTCGGACCGATAGCTAAGTAAACTTAATAAATTATAGGTTTTAGAAAGTTAATAATATTTAAGTCTCGAAGCAGGATAACTTTATTGTTTTTAATCTACCTTCTATTACAACAATAAACCCCTTTACTCCATTCTATAAGTCGCGCCAATCAGGGTTTTACTAGTCTACTATATCTTGTCTTCCTCTTCACAATGCTTATCAACAGAAGTATCTTGGCTGTCGCGTTTGCCGGCACTGCTCAAGCAATCAGCCGTGCAGATCCACCCTATTTTCCCGCAAATTGCAAAACCCCCAGCGTCACCCCCGAGATCCGTGACCTCTCAGCACGCGATTTCTTTGGCAAAACGGTTTACCCCTGTGTCAAGGTTGGAGAGACCTGTAAATCCTTCAAGGACTGCACACGTCCCCCGGCTGCTGAATGCCACAAAGAGAGAACGGACCGGAAATACATTTTCCCTCTGCCTGGGTCTTGCATTGACGGCTTCTGCCGCCACATCTCGAACAAGAAGGAATCCCCCTGCGACTGTCTCGCTGGATGTGATATCAAAGACTTCGATCGCGATCTGAGTTGTATCGATGGGAGATGCAAGGCTGCGGAATGCGCTCCATGTGGCGAGTTTCCCAACAACCGCGCATGCTGCGCCCCTGGGGTCAAAGGTCAAGATGGAAGATGTTTTTGCGGTACTGGTGCAGGAGAAGGATGTGCCACAAACCCTGAGAAGTGTGACTCTGGGAACTTCAATGATATGTGCTGTGGTAGAGGTACGGATAATGAAGGCAAGTGCTGTGCTTCCGGTTCATGCAACGGTCGATGCCTGCATCAGCCGAAGTAAGCCGAATACTTTCCCAATTATAAATATTCGGGAAGAGAGACAACTAGGCATTGAAGCTCGACATGAAGTCGGCTCATAGTTGAGTTACGGTTGGGTTATCATTAAACGTGGGATTAGGCTTAAGATAAAAAGGGCTTTTTTACTGCACTGAGGTTTTTCCCTATAGATAAACTCTATCTTTATTTACCTGTAATTACAAGACAATTATTTCCCATTATCTTTCGTGGTCGCAGAATCTTGGAGCCGCCGGTTGTAATGCCGTTGAATTAGTGCAGTCTGGGATGTTTCGATCAGCGCCGTGTCTGAACGACAGCCGAGTAACGTCTTTATTACAGCTTTCAATAGATGCTTAGAGTGCTGTCTGATGGCTTTTATGCGATCGATCTAAATCAACAGTATTTCAGTCCAAGGGTATGAAATGGTCGATATTTGCGCCCCCCCACATCAGTTTCTGAGTTGCCTTCGTGCTATAACATCGCGCAGCAGCTGTGAGCGAAAGCGTTGTTCCAGAATCCCATGGACAGAGTTTGGAAGGTGGTCGACGATTAGGATCAGCCCCTAGGGCGAGAAACATATCGATCCTTTCCATATCATCAGCCTCAATCGCCGTTTGTAGAGCTGATGGTCGACAAAGTGGTGGAAGGGCATTGATGTCCGCCCCATCGTCAATCAACAACTCCACCCACTTAAAGCCTGCGTTAGTCACAGCCTCAATTAGGTATTGGTCAAAGGGCCCTCTACTAAAGCCGTGCAATTCCTGGTGAAGAGGAACCCTAAGGTTCGTTTTGTTTTCAATCAACAATGCGATAACATCAGTTCAGCCAGGCTTTTTAAGTGCTAGAAGTAGAGGAGTCCTATCGCGCGACGTTGCAATGGTCTTGTCAGGGTTAGCACCATATTCCAGCAGTAGCGTAACGGCCTCTGCATCGTGTAATTGAGCTGCTCAAAGAAGCGCAGTCATTTCGCCGTCGTCAGTCCATCGGGTGCTGGCAAAGCCATGACTGTCTTCAGGATCGGACCCGTTCTCGAGTATAAAACCAGCGAGAAATTGTGATTTGCCGTTTATTGCACCAAACAAGAGTTTCGACAACAAAACCCGCGTGACACTTTTCTTTTCGCGACAGATTCTCTCTAATACAACTCTGCCGCCAACGCTCGGCGGTATGACTTTCAATAAATCGTAACCTTCGATGGACAGCAAAAACTCGTTTGCGCACCGGTAGAATACCCACTTCCAAAAATCAGCTGCAGGAAACTTGGCGTTGTCGTGGATTCTGCGTTCGCTCGGTAACTGGGCTTTGACAATTGACATAACACGACCGAGGGTTTCGGCATCCGCAACGGATCGCCTTTGCGTTTGTAAAACAGTTCAAGCGATCTGCACTATATCCTCTTGTCTTGCCAATACAGTTAAAGCTGGCAAAGTGTTTTGCGGATCTCCGAGCGTCGCATGGGCTGTACCTTTGTTAGCATGATTGGCTTTTAGCTATTTTCTGTCTTTACTGAAACAGCTGTGAATGAAAAACCAGGGGACTTGATATCAATGCAGCGATTGACGGTAAAGTGCGCACTGTCAATTCATTGTTTTTATCCGTGCTTCCGGAGGTTGGAACTTCTCAGCTTAGCATCGGCCAGCTGAGACAAATGCTCATAGGAAGTCTTACCTGGAGGCCCGTAATATTGCGGTACAGCGCGTCTTCCGATCTCTTTTTTTAGCATCGCTGATGAAACTGGTTTACCATGGACAAGCACCTCCGACTTTTTGCCGTCCCGTTGTCGCTTCTGTACTGGCTATAGTCTATTCCTATTTGTCTGCAGTCATGTTCTTGCTAAAGTTCCATATGTTGAATTTTCGAACGAGTTGAGCCTTTCTAGCCCAATACTAATCTAGGTACATGACACAAACAGTTCCCTGATGTAAAGTTATAACCGGTATCTTATGCTTTTTCAAGTAAAGCTAACAGAGCTCATGTATCTGCATTAGCGATTGCCTATCCTAGGCCGCTTCATTTAAGGTAAGAACTGGATAAATTTGTTAATATCTCCAAACACGAACTAGCTGGGCTTAAGGATGAGGGGAGGCTGATATATCTGTGCTTTGATAAGGGCATTCTGGCAGGGATTGGAATCCATTTCGGACTCCGTGGAGCTTGGAATATGCATGTCAGCGTTGGGGGCAACAGCAGGATCACAGCTTTGATAAGCGGCTGACAAATCAAATCACCTTAGAAACCATACGTCACCTTTGTGCCGTTTATGATATAATGAGGATCGCTTATTTCTATGCAAAAGCCGCGTTGTAGGTATCACCGCAACTCTATCTTTTCAACTTCCACCAGCACCATGCACTACGCAACTGCATCCATTCTCCCTGCTCTCCTCCTTTCGGGCACCCTTTCTTCATGCCTTCCTTCCCAGCCAAAAGTCCGGGAAATAGTCGAGATTCCCGGCGTCCGGATCGAGAATGTTGCTTCTCGATCCAATGGTGACCTATTACTTAGCACAATGGGGGAAGGCAAACTCTACTCATTGAATCCATATAAGACCCCTTCTAAACCGAAGGTGATTGCACAGATTGAGGGCGTCAACAGTCTATTTGGCATCACCGAGATCGGCAACGATGTCTTTGCTCTAGCGGCGGGGAATGACACCGGACAACAATTCCAGAACAACAGCATGAAGCTTTCGCTACTCAAGTTCAACCATGGCAAGCTGTCTGTTGATACCGTTTTTGAGGAGTCCAAATATGGCCCTGTTAATGGCATCGTGGCACTTCCCCATCACAAGCATGTCATCCTCGGTGCTGACTCTGTTCGAGGAGAGATTTTACAAATAGATACAAGTACAGGCAAAATCAGAGTGGCTATTCAGGATAAAGAGCTTACCCCTAGCAGTGATGGCCCCTATGGTCTTGGTGTCAATGGCATTAAGATCTATAAAAACCACCTATATTTTACCAATACCGATCGCCAGACCTTTGGCCGAATGAAGATTGATAAGCTTGGAAATAAGGTTGGAGACGTTGAAATTATCTACAGGCTTGAGAAGGGATCTCCCTCTATACCTGATGACTTTGCTATGGATACAAATGGCAATGCTTATGTTGGTTTTTGGCAAGACAAGCTGATTAAGATCACACCTGATGGCAAAGCTAAAGTGCTCTCAGAAGGACTTCTTGCTGGACCCACTAGTGTGACCTTGAAGAGAGATGGTAAGAGTGTTTTTGTTGTCACAGCTGGAATGAACAACGATAATGTATCCGGTGGCCAAGTGGTCCAGGTCAGAATCAAGAGATAATGATAAAGCTCTAAGTGGCGGTATTATTGAATTCATTAATAAGTTATTTAGATGAAGTGTCTAAAAGTCCTTACTGAGTTGACTAAGGGCTCAATCCATGCCAGATTCTGCCTACCGTTCTAGCGATGCTCAGGTGCAAGGCCTGGGCTCCTTTGATACACTCCATAGCTGATGCTCACATTCACACGTGTCTTCGGTAGGACTCAACGTAAGGAACGTCAATCTCCTTAACAGCTGACTATTAGATACTTTCAGAAGAAAACAAGGCTAAGAACCCGTTTTTTAAGAACGTATTGAGTGATAATAGCAGCGACGCAACCGGTATAACCAACAAATTTCTCCTCTTACTGGACCGGTTGAAGTGCGAGGCTAGAGCTTTGAACCGGCATTAATATGGGGCCCATCGATTACGAGTTACACTTTAGTCCCTTTGCTCTATGAAAAGTCGTTTGAATGTGTCTCAATAAATGAATGGTGATTTCATTAGCTGCCCACAGCAACCTATGGTGCACCGCCCCGGACAATCCTATCTATTCCAATTAGGCAATTCCATGAAAATAGTCCGTAAAGGCTAATTTACTGAGGGAGCCATGTGGACTTTCTGTCCAGATGGTCCAGGAATGAGGTGAAATTTTGGCTGTGAGTCTCCTTATCAGTTACCCAAACACTGTAAGAGCAATAAGACATAAGAGAACAGTATGTAGAATCACATGTCTTTGGGAAGGGCTTACAATTGCTTTCCTGCCGCCTTGAAATATTGGCTCCCATAGAAAAGGGTAGAGTTCGAGTCAGAGCCAGGACCACCTTCTAACCCAGACACTGAAGGATCTTCGTCTAGGTCAGGTTCTTCTCGCTCTGTTTCCTCTAGCTCTGGCAAAAAGGCCCAGCAAGAACCCTCGAGCTCAAGACCCACAGTTTAGTCATACTCCTCTGCGATATGAACGGGCCACTCCCCAAAAGAGCGGTCCAGGATAGCAGTGTCGAGGTCCTGCTCAAACCAAGTAAAGAACCCGCGTCGAAAGGGGTGGAAATCATCGCTATAAGTTTCTACAACTTCATTGGCTTCTATCACGTCAAATTGGTAAGACATGACGTAGCAAAGCCAGAACGGAAGCTCAGAATTAGCGAAGGGGTGGCGGTGAATTTCCGTGTCCAGCTTGAAAGTGTAGCGCTTATTGGTACATGCACATCGTCTGACATAGTCTTGAAAGTACTTCTCATATCTATAAAAGGACGGATGTGAGTTCTCAGGCTGTTGAAACGGTTAATAGGAAAAGTATGTACCTTGTCATAAGAGAGTTATACTCGCTGGTACCGAATATGAGGTTTTCCGGGACTTGGGACGTGTGATAGTCACCATTGAGACCACCCCACGAGAATGCAGCCCGATGAAGCCACTGAGTTTATACCCAATCAATATTAAGAAGCTCCCATGATGACGATGAGTGGGAATATAAGCGACTTATCTCTGCGGGCCAAACACCTGGACTGGGCCATTTGCCAGATCTCGGCACTATAGAGCCTGTGTCCTTCCAGCCCAAAATCGCGGCAATCTACGATACCAATGTTAGAAGATGTTTGCGACAGGGGAGTCCTGATACTTACTTCGTTGGCACTCGATCCCATTACCTCATACTGCGTGTACATCGTCTCTTCTACCTTTGGCGGCTTTCATCTTAGCAGCAAAAAGTTTAATTCTCACATAGTTCGTGTCTGTCTTTTTCTAGATCGTTGCTGTCTCATGAGAGACATATTCATCTCTCTCAGTACATGCGTTTATGGACTCTATCGCGTCTTTAACCTCTGCATGCTGCTTCTGTCCCGCGAGCTTGATGTCCTCGTTCGCTATGGCGACTGGCGACAGTGGCATTGGACGTTGAGGATATGCGGTATTGTAGCTATTTCAGTCCTCTTCAAATATCCAAGTCTCATAATGTCGCATGGGAGATCTGCCAAGCTACTCTATTATCAGTTACAATGATAGCTAGATCCGTTAGCGGGGTACAAAAACACGCACCCAATGTAAAGCGACCCCATTCGTCATCTCGTCTAGCTTTTCGCTAGAAATGAGCGTTACGTCTTGGCGCGTTGTACGTTTGACCTTAGCGGCATTGATGCAGTGATAAAGAAAGTCGATTTTAACTCCGGGGCACGGCACTATGAAAAGTTGGATGGCTGGGTTAATGCAACGGTTCCAACCTCCGGCTGACTCAATACTGCGTGCTGCTTTCTTATAGCGAGCAGCCCGGGCATCGTTTTCCAGGCCATATTCTTTCTCGACGGTGAGCTGAAACGGTCGTCCTCGCTCGTTGCGTACCCAGAAGCACTTGCGGTCGGGTGCATTAGAAGGAAAAAGATGGTTAAATTCAGGAATCGGGTGATCAGGGTCCATCAGGTTCACTTCTGAAAAGTAATTGATCACCAGCTGCGAGATGTAAACCTCTTCAATATGAGGGGCGGGTGTATACAGCTTTCCGATTTGGTCCGAGTGAAGCTTGACATAATATCCATCCTGTGGGATGTGCATATTCAGGCTTTGATAATCTTCGTCTATCAAAGTACACGGATACGCTTGGTTCGCACCAATATATCGATCTCGGCCCTGCCGAAGGTATTGGTACAGCGAGCGCAGCCCAGAGTGGCCCTGAAGATCCAGCTGGCCTATGTCCTGACCATTGGCGGGAGTAAGGTTATGGGTAGTTAAAATAGGCTTTAGCCTCTAGCGTATAAAGGTAAAGAATACTAATAAATATATATAGGTAAGATACTTATTACCTTTATTATTACCTAGGATCTTAGTTTTAGCTAAAATATTAATATCTTAATAACTAACTTTAAATATATATTAAAAGGTTAAATATCTTTATAGCCAATACGTAAGGTATAGCTAATAGGGTCTTATATAATGAGAATAATATAATATAATACTTATTTTTTAATATA